GTTTGAGAGTACTCTCGAGAGCAACTATTTTAATTGCGCAGTAGTAATTTTCAGCCTTTAAGATTTCTATTGTCAAACGAAACATCTTGTTCACAGTATATGGCAGTGGAAATTTCGAACAGAGGTTAGGATTTCAAACGTTCAGTATTTTAGACGTTCAGACGTTTTGTAATTCGTAAATCTTTGCTGTTTGCTAGTGCTTGCGGAGAGCTGGACACAGTTTGAGAGTACTCTCGAGAGCAACTATTTTAATTGCGCAGTAGTAATTTTCAGCCTTTAAGATTTCTATTGTCAAACGAAACATCTTGTTCACAGTATATGGCAGTGGAAATTTCGAACAGAGGTTAGGATTTCAAACGTTCAGTATTTTAGACGTTCAGACGTTTTGTAATTCGTAAATCTTTGCTGTTTGCTAGTGCTTGCGGAGAGCTGGACACAGTTTAAGAGTACTCTCGAGAGCAACTATTTTAATTGCGCAGTAGTAATTTTCAGCCTTTAAGATTTCTATTGTCAAACGAAACATCTTGTTCACAGTATATGGCAGTGGAAATTTCGAACAGAGGTTAGGATTTCAAACGTTCAGTGTTTCAGACGTTCACTCGTTTTATAATACGTAAATCTTTGCTGTTTGCGAGTGCTTGCGGAGAGCTGGACACAGTTTGAGAGTACTCTCGAGAGCAACTATTTTAATTGCGCAGTAGTAATTTTCAGCCTTTAAGATTTCTATTATCAAACGAAACATCTTGTTCACAGTATATGGCAGTGGAAATTTCGAACAGAGGTTAGGATTTCAAACGTTCAGTGTTTCAGACGTTCACACGTTTTATAATACGTAAATCTTTGCTGTTTGCGAGTGCTTGCGGAGAGCTGGACACAGTTTGAGAGTACTCTCGAGAGCAACTATTTTAATTGCGCAGTAGTAATTTTCAGCCTTTAAGATTTCTATTATCAAACGAAACATCTTGTTCACAGTATATGGCAGTGGAAATTTCGAACAGAGGTTAGGATTTCAAACATTCAGTGTTTCAGACGTCCAGACGTTTTATAATACGTAAATCTTTGCTGTTTGCGAGTGCTTGCGGAGAGCTGGACACAGTTTGAGAGTACTCTCGAGAGCAACTATTTTAATTGGGCAGTAGTAATTTTCATCCTTTAAAAGGTTTCTATTGTCACACGAAACACCTTGTTCACAAGTTATGGCAATGTAATGAGTTAGACAAGGAAAGATATAGGGACAAAGAAAGACAGAAAATTTGAAAAATTAAAGTAACGCCATCTCGTATTTGATGACACGAACTACAACTTTTTAATAGGAACACAGAATATAAACAGAGGTATCAGATAAGGAAAGAACTAGTGTGCGACAAGGATAGAGAGAAAACGTTTTTGATTGGCTGGCAGGTATCTAGCCTCCACCTATCACGGGCTGCATCAAGTGGGCCAGGGAAAAATCATTAATAACTCAATAATTACGACGATTCTGTGAAGTTTTAGAATTGAAGAATGAAGTGTGGACCTTCAGCAACTTTCACATATACTTCTTAGTGCGCTAGACCCCTTCAATAATTAGTTATTAACAATTTTAGTGCGTGATATCGGAAACGATACCGCATACCGTCAAGCACATTTACGATTTTTCAATAATTTCATAGGTTTCTGCTAAATTCTCATGCAACTAACTTGGTGCATCTGAAAGGTGACTCCTTTGGCTATATTCTCATCTAATTTTTATTAACATATCCCTTGTGGTTTGATAGTTATTTAACATTCTTTGGGAGAGTATTACACTCGTCGCATTCAATCGTAACATATTTTCGTTATTCCAGCAGACATGCGTGATGTATTATGCACTTTCAAGCATGCAGAATGTAGTATAGACCTTTATCTATATTCTACAGCAATTTTTGTAGCCGTAAGTATTGTGGTTCATTAGATATTAGCAATTGTTTATAAGTATTGACTATACTCGAGTACGATGAATAGGAGACTCTCTCATATAATGATTAATAACTCTTAAACTAAATCGAATATGTTAATAAAAATTACATGAGAATATAACTATGGGGCTTACCTTTCAGATAGATATAGTTAGTTGCATAAGAAGTTAGTAGAAAGTTATGAAATTATTGAAAAACCGCAAAGGTATGCAGTATCGTTCCCGACATTGCTCACTATAATTGTTAATAGCTAATTATTGAGAGGGTCTAGTATATTAAAATTTATATGGGAAAGTTGCCAAAGGTCCATACTTTATTCTTCAATACTAAAAGTTCATAAAATTTTCGTAATTACTGAGTTATTGAATATTATTCGGATGAATACTAAACTCGTCGCATTCAAGTGTACGGATTTTTGTCATTTTCACGAAAATGCATGGTTAATTTTGCACTTTTAAGCATATAGAATATAGTATAGACCTTTGTCTATATTCTGCAATATTTTTGGTAACCGTAAGTAATATGGTTTATTAGATATTAGCAATTGTTTATGACAGTTAACTATACTCACGCTTGAATGCGACGACTGTCATACTCACCCAAATAATGTTCAATAACTCCTAAACTAAACGGAATATGTTAATAAAACTTAGAAAAGAATGTAGCTAAAGGAGTTGCCTTTCAAACACATATAGTTATTTGCATGGGAATTTAGTAGAAAGCTATGAAATTATTGAAAAACCAGAAAGATACTTGACGGTACGCGGTATCGTTCCCGACATCACCTACTAAAATTGTTAATAACTAATTATTGAAGGGGTCTAGCGTACTAAGAAGTAAATGTGAAAGTTGCTGAAGGTCCACACTCCATTCTTCAATTCTAAAAGTTCATAAAATCATCGTATTTATTGAGTTATTAATGATTTTTCCCTGGCCGAGTTGATTCAGCGCGTGGGAAGTAGAGCTGAGATTCAGCCGACCAATAGGAAGCGTTTTCTCTCTGTCCTTGTCGCACACTAGTGCGTTCCTTGTCTAATACCTCTGTTTATATTCTGTTATCCTATTGAAAAGTTGTAGTTCGTGTTGCCAAACACGAGATGGCGTTAGTGTAGCTCTTGAGCTTTTTCTGTCCTTGTCTATCCCTATACCTTTCCTTGTCTAACTCGTTTCTCTAGTGATAACCTTATCCATTCGAATTCTTTTGCTTGTCTTACTCATTTTCATATTGTTAAATACTTCGACGAAGTAGGTACGACTACTAATGGTACATGACCATCTTCCAATAAAAATTACACAAATATTAATCACATAAATCAACCAAAAAATTCTACATTAATGCTACATTTCCTACTATACATTGAAATATAAAAAAATAGAAAAAGTAATAAAAATTATGAAGTTTTAATAACTTAGAATCACAGCCTGGGTACAGGATACATCTAACACTTAATGCATTTTTCTGTCCGCGTCAAGAGGATTCAGAGTGCACTTACCTTTTTCGAGTCGCTTCCAATGTTACCGATTCAGCATATAATAATATTACAATATATAGATTAGGTTAAATTTTGGAATTTTTTTAACTTTTTCGATTATTACGCGTTCCTAACGATATCCAGACTTAGCTTATTTAATTTGATAATGAAATATTATTTAAAAAATGAGTGTTTCGCAAATGGAAATGGGTGCGATGTGTAGGGGAGAAATGAGTAGATTGTAAAATGCTGTAAAACAATACTGGTATATTGTAATCTTTTGTGAAATACATTTTATATAGTTATCTTAAAATAAATAATTGATTTTTTGATAAATAATTGCATTTCTTCGGTTTTCCTGATGTTGACGTTGACGTCCTTGATTTCTGTGATGGCCTGAGAGTTTCATCTGTAATTTACACAAAAAAAAACATTAATTTTTCAATTATCAATAAATGTTATAAACAATTTCTAACTAATTTACTGCATACAATTGTTAACTCAATGCGAAATTAATAAACTAATCCGATTTATTAAGTTAAATCTTGCAACAAATTTATTTAATACTTCTAATAAAACGCTAATTATTCTATAATTAAAATACTTGAAAATAAATCAGAATCTTCATTTTACTGTATACGTTAGTAGTATTGTTGAAGCCATTAAAAATTTATTATAAGTATCAATTTCGAACTGCTTACTGCATACAATTGTGCTCTAATTTACAATAACTATTATTTAAAGCGAAAAATTCATAGAATTTCTATTTTAAGAATCAACTAACCTGATAACCCTTCATTTCTGACAATGCTCTCGATCCTTCCACTTATCATGATTGGCTATCAGTGAAGACGTAAGAGTAAATGCGATATCCTTCTTCTATCACTATCGGCTGATTAACGGCAAGACGTTACAATTTCTCGTACTGGCGATGAGTGAAATTACTGGTGACATATTATCGACAGAGATGTTCAGACTTTATCGTTAAAGTAGTAATCTACGAATCTCATAATAAATATTCAATTTAAGCGGTTATTCTGTCTATCACCTGTCTCATTATAAATGTATCTGCGTCACATTTTTGAATATTCATGTGCAGTATGAAATAGCAATTCTTGTCATTACAGTTATGTTAAGATTTTATATAAACATTTTTTCCTTTACTAACACTTAATTAGCACCTGAAATATTGTTAATAAAGTCTGAAAAATAATGTAGATATCTTTTTCCACTTGGATTATTTTAAAATTCGTACATTTTAATTTCATTAATTATCATTATATACACAGAGTGTGAAAAATTATTTAAACATATTTGAAAAGAAAAAATTCTATAAATCCGTATTATCGAAATTATTCAAATTAACATGCATTTTCCAATAAAGTTTACATGTAACAACAGGAGACCATCGTAAATAGAAACGTGACCGTTTATAAAGTCTGATGAGGGTTCAAAGTTCGTATGTATTAATTTTTCGTTGCTTCGAATAGCGCTTTTTATTTATACGTGTTTTATGAACGTCGTTTTATAATGTAATCATGCAAAAAATTTCATTGGCCGTCAGAAAAAACTTGAACTTTGTGCGATTAAACGACTACAGCGCCGCATTAAACCGTTCAATCGTATCACTGGCGCAGTGACATAGTACGTTCGAGGCATAGTCGGCGAAAAGACTTTTACGTATCTTAGGTAGAGGAACAGCGAGCACACTACTAATTACAATGGAGGTATTTATTCACGTAATACATTTCATAATTAATGTTAAACATTATTATTAAGTATAAACACTTTTATGAAAAATAATCCACAATTCAATGTACTTCTCACTTTTTAGATTCAAATCCTGACTGCTAAGTCATCGAAGTTTATAGTCAATGTGTCCGTAAGTATTGCCTACATAAAATAGAAATCGATGTTTTTACAACTCGTTCATGCTTAATTATACATTTAAATATACTTATCGATAGTTATTTTTAATATTTGTACAATGTACAATGTATTAATATGTTATAAAATACAATAGATATTCATAAAACAACACATAAATTTTTGAAGGTGTTCTTTAATTTGAAATTCTAATTAGCAGTTCTTATGTCACATGAGACAACTTTACTTTACACTTTCAGGTAAAACCTGCTACAACCATCCGGGAAATTAAGGAAGAATTATATAAGTTAAGAAAAGCACCATATATACACAGACAAAGTTTAAGGCTAAATCCTAAAGGAAAGGCTTTATCTGATTCAGATACTTTGCAAAGTTTATCTATTTCTGATGGTGGAAAATTATACTACAAAGATCTTGGACCTCAGATTAGTTGGAAAACTGTATTCTTAGTGGAATATGCAGGTCCATTATTTCTATACATATGGATATATCAACGTCCATGGATTTTTTATGGTGATGCAGGAGCATCTAAAATTCATAATGTAGTCCAGTAAGTTTATACAATAAATATATTTCTTTTAATTTAAAGACTAAGTATTTCAATAAAACATAACAAAATTGAATGTGATTTTAGTACAGCAGCTGTTTGCTGGGGAGTGCATTATGCAAAACGACTTCTAGAAACATTATTTGTGCATCGATTTAGTCATGCAACAATGCCATTGCGCAATCTTTTCAAAAATTGCTCATATTATTGGTTGTTCGCTATGTATGTAGCATACCATGTAAATCACCCACTGTACACAGCTCCTAGCCAATGTCAATATCTTGTTGGTCTGGCAACATTTGCACTTTGTGAAGTGGGTAACTTAAGTATTCACATAGCTTTGAGAAATTTGAGACCACCAGGAAGTACTGTAAGGAAAATACCAGTACCCACCAGCAATCCTTTCACAGCTCTGTTTAATCTAGTATCTTGCCCAAATTATACTTATGAAGTTGGAAGTTGGATTGGCTTCACCATCATGACTTCATGTCTTCCAGGTATAAATATATTTATTTTATAAAAAAAAAAATGAATGTAACATAAACTGTACATAAATGTTCTTTTTTTTTTAGCTGGTCTATTTACTTTTGCTGGTGCATATCAGATGACCATTTGGGCATTAGGAAAACACAAAGCATACAAAAAAGAATTTTCTCAGTATCCAAAATGTAGAAAAGCTATTGTCCCGTTTGTCCTTTAAATGTTCTGTTAATTCTTATTCTGGAATGCGATATTGGTAATTACTACGATCACATTTCTATGTTTGATTTTGTTATTGATATTTTTATGCTTTAAATAAATAATATGGAATAGAATTTCATATTATACTGTGTACAACATCCTTTTTTTTATTTCTATGAAAAATTTATTAAAGGAATGTTTTGCGCATTAGTATTCTTAACTACATATGATAAGCATACCTAAAAAGTTACTTTAGTTTCTGGTTCATCACAAGGTAGCTTGCTTATCAATTTATACATGTCTTCTTTTAATGCAATTATTATATTCTGACATTCTTGCATTTGAGATCGATAATCATTTTGTAATTGTTCGTACCCGTAACATGCTTGATCCATCTTTTTCCTCGCTTCTGACGGTTTTACATCTTTTGCTGTTAAGCCTAACAAACCTTCCATGTGTAATATCTGTTTTCTTGCTTCTTTCAATGCTTCCCTTAAAGTGTTCAACTCCACAATCAAAATAATATTTTCCTCTACCCTTTTATCTATATCTTTACCGCTACTTCCTTTATCCTGGAAGACCTGTTTTCTAAGGGAAGCTATTGTTCTCTCTAAATGATCTCTCTGCTTTATAAACTCACATTGCGCATCTAAATCCGCTTTACGACTGCGTAAAAATTCATCACTGGAGCAGTACTTGTGATACAATTTCGTTATGGCATTTTTCAATGGTTCTGGTTCTTGCACAAGCCCCGAAACATCAAGCAAATCAACTCGAATTTTTTTCAAAAGTCGTTGACACTTTTTATTTCGCTGCAGTTCATATTGATATTCGCGTCTAGCAGCTCCCAATTTTTCTCTCAATTCGTACGATTGTAATTCTAAACTAACAGTGATTTGATGAATATTCACAAGCTCCGTTTCCATATCTCTGATCTTGTCTTTGAGCTCTTTAATCTCTTGATCCCGCGGCTCGATTTGATTCTTCAATTCCGTGATCTTATAATTTAAAACAAACTTGAATTTTTCCAATTCTTGATTCGTCCGCTTTAACTCATATATCTGACCTTCCCTATCTTGAATCGTGGTATCTCTTTCATTTATCTCCTTTTTTAATTCTTCCTTATCTTTCTCCAGTTCCTGAATAGTTTTCTGGAAATAGCCGTATTCGCCCTGAACTCGTTGTACTTGTCTTTTCAATTCCTCAACATCTTTCAAACTAGCCATATATCTATTACGCATCGTTCCAGCTTCTCCTTTCAATTTTATGTTTAACTCTTTTTCCTCATAGAGCATTGTTTCATAATTTGTTCTGAGCTCCAATATTTCCTGGTCAGCGTCGTCTTCTATTTGCGTTGCCATCTGTTCATGCACTCGTGCCTGTTGGGCCATTTCATCCTGTGTCTCTTCTAATTGTAATTTCTTTTCGTGAAGAAGAGCCTCATATTTATTTGTTGCTTTCTGTAATTCCTCAACACCATGTCTCTCCACTTCTTCCAGACGTTTCTCGTAATCTTGACGCATGGTGTTCATTGAAATTTCAAGGGCCAAATACCTGTCATATTCTATAATAAGTTTGGCATCATAATTCGTCTCCACTTGTTTCATCGTTTTCTCGTGTTTCTCTTTCATTTTAACTATTTCGACATTTATCGTGTTCAACTCATTCTTATGATCCTCCTGCTGTTTGCTTATTTTATCCCGTAGTTTCTCAATAGCTTCGCAATACCCTTGATGCAGATCCCTTATTTTATCATTATGTACAACTTCAATCTGTCGCATTTTATAAGCATGCTCAGTTTCTAATTCTCTCATTCTAACATTCAGATCTATAATCGTTTGTATTTTTTCTTGCAGGTCGCCTTTACTAATTAGTACTTCGTTCGTATATTGGAGCTCTTTTCCTATCTTTCCTTTTCCTTCTGGATAATTTATTTTCCAAATGCACAAGTTACCATCGATACCAGTAGATATTAAAAATTGTTCATTGTAAGAAAGAGCAATCTATAAATAATGTATAAGTAATAAAACACACTTTTATATACATACATATTTAAATATAATGTTACATGTATCTTTATACCTTTGTAATATCAGTAGAGTGTATGTGAAAACTTATATAGTGTATTGGCTCTTGAACTGGACATTTTACTGATAAAATAATACCACCAGGACAAATAAGAAATAAAACTTGATCTTCTTTTCCTAATATCATACAATACATATCCGTAACTAGAATATTATGTTGTCGTACCTGATAAGAATAATATATTATTATAATGTTGTTTATATCGTTTTAAAATCATAGGCAATTTAAATAATATGTTACCGTATTATCTTTTATCTCATATATGAAATTATCATTTGCGATGCAGTAAACAACCTGCTCGTCAGCCGACAGAGCAATATCATGTAAAATAATGTTTTTCAATATTACTTCTGCGCAACGGCGACCAGTACTCATATCCCATTGATAGATAGCACCTTCTGCACCTAATGTCAGTAGCTTTGTATCTGTTCGTGACCACAATACGGTCTTTACTCTGCTGGTATGTCCTTTTAAAATGTAGGAGACAGTAAAACCGATACAGGAATAAACTTGCACGATATTCCCGTTAACAGCAGCAAATGCATGACCGCCATGGCTAAATTTTACAGTCTTGCAACATCTTATGGAACATTCGTGCATAGGTAATAGGTCGTCTATTAATATGCTCATAAATCGTAACTTATCGCTAAAGCCAATTAAGCAGAAAAGACCTGTAGGATGCAAAGCAATTCCACAAATATCTTCCGTGTATTGTTTATGTAAAATCAAACTTTCTGTTTCAAAATCCCATAATCTTACACTATGATCAAGTTCTCCACAAGTCATAAAAATTGATTTCCATGCACACACGGAAAGACCACTTATGGGACCGTAATGCAACGACTGGCCCAAAATGTGTAATTTCTGTGGCTCTGGATCTACATTTAGGTCTGGTCCCCATAATCTTGCATAAAACAATTGAGACCAACCAGTTGTAACTAGTAAGCGATCAGAACTTAAATTCACGTTTATACTATTGATCTGATATAAATCTCTATTTTCTTCCTTTGATGGTTGCGTCGGAACTATATAAATATTTCTCTTTATGTATTTATGCTGACCATCTCTTTCAAAGACTGTGATTGTTTTAAAACCGAATGCGTATGCAAAACCTCTTTGAAATGCGATTAAACAACGAACATTGTTTTCCCATGGAATATCTTGTTTTGTATCCATATTTGTTAGTGAACTACTGGCAGGTATAACATATTCTTCTCGTATTTTAAGATTCATAAACATTGTATCATTCATTTTGTAAATATTTTTTAAATCACCATTTTCTAAATAAAGTATTCTACCATCTTTAGTTCCTAGTAATAATCTATCTGGATTCAACCAAGTCATTGAACATGTAAGTATATTGTCTGCCTTAGAGAATCCATATGGCCTCCATACAGTATCAGAAAGAGTTAAAAATTTAAATATATGTGGACCTCCAAGTGCAACTACACCTACATCAGATGGATTACAAGCTAATACTTCTATAATAGCCAATGGATTTTGAGAAGTGCCTACTTTTATACTAGATTCTATTTTTCCCTTTTCCCAATTGTAAAAAAGCATTGTTTGATCAGGCTCTCCTGTAACTGCTACTAGATACTTGTTATCAAAGCTAAACCCTACACAAGTAAACCTTGTCACACCAGGAGCATCATATGGTATTCCAAGAAGTTTCTTTCTTTTTAACGTTTGAACATCATAAATTGATATAGTAGGTTTTTCTCCAGTTTCACATGTTGCAACATACTTCCTGAATAAAAAAAAAAAAGGGAACATTTGAAAATATACGTCTCTATGTTAGAAAATAAAAATATCAACTATATGGAAACTTACTTATTATGTGTTACACAAATTATATTAATCTGTTGCTTTTCAGATAAACGTAATAATCTTTGTCTAAGTTGCGGAACATTATGAACTGTGATTACAGTTCCGACGGGATATAAAATTTCTGCATCCGTAATATAATGTGCATTCGAAATTATATCAGTTTTTAAACCATAAAATACTCTTGTTTGTAAAGAAGGAATCATTTTGAAAAGGCTGTTTTTCCTTCAAATTGATAAGTAATGTAGTAATTTTTTACCGTCTACATTATATACATGCGTTGTTTATGTTTCCATAGCAACAAACTCGATTGAAATATTCAGTACCAGAAATGTCATCATATTTCACATTAAGAAAGATAATATAAAAAACCCTACCTTTATATTTATGCTAAATTAGAATCCGTGTTACAATTGTTGTTCGTACTCTTTTAAACCTGTTTTGATCTTCGTTGATAAAGTTCCCGCCATTTGTCATATTGAGCTACATTCACATTGCTAAATCAAGAAAAATATCAACACAATGTGCTTCACACAGTGTATCGAAACCTAACCCTAATGTGTTCTCTTTTATAAGTGGGAATTATTAATGATACAATATTATAATATACGCAATTAATAATATTAATTGTATTTTATTGTAATGATATTTATTAAACTATGTATTTAAATAGAAACTTATAAAAAACTTGTAATACTTCATTTGAAAATATCTAACCTAAATCCAGTAACTGTATTTTAATTATAAACAATTAATTTGCAGTTTATTACATAAATAAACGATGGCACAAATAATTAATGTAAAAGATAGTCAATGTAAAGCAGAATCGATTGATAATTCTGATCTAGAATGTTGTAAGAATTGCGGACATCTGTGTGATCCATACAATAAACCCGCATTACGCTGTAATGAATGTTCAAAAAAGATTCATATTGAATGTTTAAAACGAGGAAGTGTTCCAGTATCTTTTGTAGGAGATGTATTTTTTGATTTGACTTGTCCTCACTGTAGTTCTTTTGGTGAAGAAATAGTAGCACGTAATAGAATGCCTTGGCTTAATGTGATTGTACTGACATTGTATAATTTACGTGAAAAATCCAGTGGTATCAGTAAAAGAGGCTACTTTCATTGGAAATCTGATATTAGTACTTTTGTTGACCGTAATTGGGATTACTTATTTAAAAAGACAGTGTAAGCTATTGTATAAAAGACAGATGAAAATCAAGATTAATGATAAATGTGTGTATATCAATTTGATCTTTTTCTATTTTTAGTAAAAGAAAAAAGAATTGGATTGGCACAATATCTGGAACTCTTTCTCATTATAGTGGAATATTTTTTAAATCAGGAACAACAGAATTAGGAGAATCTGGATGGTGGAGATTGATGGACAATGATCCACCTGAAGTTCTTATTGCTAAAAGTAAACATAATACTTATCATTTTTATGAAAGATAATTGCAGGATATTTAATTTGCTTACAATTATGTTTTTGCAGATGAAAAAATGATATTGGATCGTAAAAAACAAGTTGGCAATCAAGTGAAATCAGTGACAAAATTACATGATAGTCCAACTCCATCAGAATCAAGCATTTCAGTTGGAGAAGACAATAGTTTTGGAAGTGGACCAGTGAAGACTCAAGAATGCTCTGCATATTCACAAGCATATATTCAACCTGACAAAACATTATTAGATTTTTTACTTGAAGAGGATGAATTAAACAGTATGCATCCATGTAACACAAGTAAAATATATAAAAAACATGTAGAATTATTTACATGCTGTGATTTTTTTAATTTAGACATGGAAATTGAAGATGATATGATTTCTAATGAGCAAAGTGACACACCATCTTTGTCTGATTTAATAAGAGATTGCCAATATCAGACAAATAATTTCCATTTTTCACAATTATTGGATGACTTCACATCTGAGTGGACATCAACTACAGATGCTGTATCTGAAAATCTTAGTAGTATTAAAACAGATCAAATAAAGGAGGATGAAGATGAACAATATGATGAAGACAGCAGTGACAGTCTAAGTTCTGTCCAAGAACAACCACCTCTTTCTTTGTTTAAAACAGTACAACGACGACCGTGGCCATGGCAAAGAAATATTATTGGTATATATATTTTTCCCCATATATTTCCTGTACAATGTATGCTTTTACTAAACGTATTTGCATTTTATTTTAGAAGAGAAAATTCCGCGCATGACACATCAAGAAGAAGTGTATTTATTACAACAAGTTAATAAGTCAGTTCTTAATTCTGCACCTTCAGAGATCAGACGATTTTATCGAAAACTAACTGTACGAAAGTTGAAACGAGAATACGGTTTACCTATACTGGACATCGATAATTTTGGATGTAAAACGGAAATACTCGACAAACCTTTAAAAGACTCTGGCAGAGTCTTGGATCGATTTTTTGGTGATGATTTAGGTCCATTTGAACAAAGACTGCAAGGATACAATGAACCCACGTCTGTACATAGTCCATACACGAATAGACTCTTAAAACCATTTATAAGAAGAGACACTTCATGCCGTCCTTTATGGTTAAAAGTAATGGAAGAGCTTCGCACTAAAGTTAATAAACCCAATCCTAAATGGAAATCACCACTAACAGCACCGATTGATTATTCTTACGTGAGGCCGCAACACATTCCTGCGATTAATAGTCTATGTAGTCAATTTTTTTGGCCTGGCATCGATTGTAAGTAAATATGACAATTACGTAATGATTTAATGTAAAATTATCTCTAATAGTTATGTTTGTGTCTTTTAAAGATATATCTAAATATACATTCAATTTTTGAATTCGCGTTTAGGAAAAAAATAATGAGATTGCATTGTTTCAGTAACGGAGTGTTTACAGTACCCCGACTTCAGCTGCGTGGTTTTGTACAAAAAGCTAGTCATTGGATTTGCAATTTTAGTTCCTGATGTTGGTTACAATGAAGCTTACATATCATTCTTTTTAACCCGTCCCGAGTGGCGTAGATCTGGCATAGGAACATTTATGCTTTATCACCTAATTCAAACGTGTATGGGCAAAGATGTCACGCTACATGTTTCAGCTACCAATCCTGCATTAATTTTATACCAGAAATTTGGTTTTAAGGTAGAAGAATTTATTCAAGACTTTTACGATAAATACATGCCTTCAAATTCACGAGAATGTAGACATGCGTTGTTCTTACGTTTAAGTAGATAAATACACTACATGATGCATTTGTATATACGTATGAATCATACTTGTGAAGTGAATTAATTTACCTCTTGTGATAGCTGTTTTGTATGCAAACGGTGAAACGTTATTTATTTCTTATGTGTGAAGGAATACTTTTGATATGTGTCAAATAAAAGTCATATTTACAGATTTCTATATGGTGAATATATTATTATTATTTTTTTTAAAACCCTATATATGTTTTTTTTAAACTGCGTAATAACGAAATTCATAAGTCTGATTATAATTTCTAGAAGAGAAAGTTAAGAAGTATTTAAACGAATATCTAGTTGTATTAGTAAAGAAAAAACTGTCTCATAGTTTCACTTCTAGTAAAAACGAATTACAATAAAAATATTTTGACATTACGTGTAAACATGGTAAAGTACTAAATTCTTGGTAGAAAGGATGAAACAAGTAGCATTTGTTAATAAAGTATCTTATAATACGCTAAAATTAATTAGATCATGGTATTCAAATATCCTTAAGTTTTATGGACACAATGTATACGCATATCCGTAGAATTCGTAATACCTACGATTACGTTCACCAAGTATATGTCAATATAATACGTGGCTAACTTCAGACAGCAATGAGAACAGTATTTTGCTTGTTTAGCTTTACACATTGACATCAATTGTACAAAATTATATTTATCTGGCAACGAAATATCAACTATTTTATAAAAATGCGTCAATAAAAGAAACGTACTATTTATTTATTGTCGTACCAACGTTACGTTTCATAAAACGCGCGCACGATTGCCGGTCACATTTTCGATTTATAACTAGAGTGGGGGTTACTGACGTCACCGAATTTGTGCTACGGAACTGCCGTCGACCCATTCTCGAAAGTTCCGGAAGCCACTAGAAGGAAAGTTTGTATATATGGACTGCGCAGCTTACGCGACACTTTAGTACGTGAAGAGAGGTGTTAAATGTTGTTTCGGTCGATCTGTCAGAAACAAACATTTCATCGATCTGCGTAACGTTTTGATTGAAAAGCTCAGTGAATTTAGTGTTAATCGGATTTTCTAATTTATCAAGCAATCGCAAGAATAACAGCGGTAAGTGTTGAACGAAAAATTGTAAACGATGCACCGTAAGGGGGACTTGATTCTGTCAGATGTTCGCGGGGAAAAAAATGGGCGGCTCGCGGTGGGGAGTCGTTCACGTATGTTTGCTCGCCTAATTTCACGATAGATAAACGTTCAAAGTGGAGATTAGGACAGCCATCATGAACACGGTAGAATTTATTTTTACGCTGCTCGAAATCGTTGCACGTTTGTAGGAGCGGACACGTTCGTCGCTTATACGCGCTCATCATTGCCAGAAATAGATATCGGTGAGATATGTACGTGGGTGTGCGTTAGAGAACATCCATACTTTTTTTCTCGAGAATATGCGAAAAAATGGCAGATCATTGACATTATCGCAATTGGTATCTATGCATTGTACCATTGCTCCACCTGTATCTCGATCATTGGGCGAACGCAGCAAGTCTTGCATTTCCATGCTTTTACGAGCCTAATTCGTTTAATAAGCTGGATCTCACCGAAAACGATGTTTTCTAATCTTACAAACTTCCAGAATTACACGATCATTTCACAGTTAGTTATTTTCTTGATTGCAAAACGTATACGTCATGTAACAGCAACGTTTACAGTAACTACTGCAACGTAAAGTTTAACTGTACCAAGGAAAGGTTTCGGTAGTGGATTAGTTTCGGTAAAACAATCTCTTCTGTAGAAATTTCGTTTGGTTCTATTCCAAATTCTGCTCTAATTGTGTAAGAAAATCTAGTAAGTGAAGAAATGAAATAAACAATCTAGGATCGCGATGTTGAGTGGTGTATGTAATGAAAGAAATCATTTCTGTACCCGCTAAGGTAATCTGTGAAAGATAAAAACAGTTCTTTGTGCTGTGTGACGTCGATGTCGTACTTGAAACTTCAGAAAGAGCCGCACTTTTTATGGTCACGTTGCGTTAAACGTCGTTTCCAAAACTGTCGATATAGAACATCATACGGTTCTCGAAAAACGTGTATGTAAAATGATGTAATATTTCGTTCGAAATACGCATTGTTATGTATACGATGATCGCAATATGTAAAACGATATCAGAGTAAAATACGAATTTTTTTAAATCCCCTATTTGTCAGAGAAAAATAAAATTGTAAAATGTTTCATGTGTCATAGAACTATCTATAGTTTGATACGAAATAATTTAAGTAGATTGAAATAAGTGCTCATAATTGAACCATTTGATGGTTTAGGGAGACGAAATGTAATTGAATAGTTACAAAAGAAAAGATCAGAATATATTGAATTTTTTCATAAACAAATTTTCAACATTTATTATCATGATGACAATGTATCAATCTTGTTATTTCAATTGTTGCAGATCAGTGACCAATGGGGAAAGATTACTATAAAATATTAGGCATAAGCAAAAATGCCAGTGATGATGATATTAAAAAGGCTTACAGAAAGTTAGCTTTAAAGTATCATCCTGATAAAAATAGGAGTGCTGGGGCAGAAGAAAAATTTAAGGAAATAGCAGAAGCTTATGAGGTACTTTCTGATGCTAAGAAGAGGGAAGTCTATGACAAATTTGGAGAGGAAGGACTGAAAGGAGGAGCTGGATCTGCAGGAGGAGGTGGTGGTGGTACAACATATACATACCATGGAGATCCAAAGGCAACCTTTGCTCAATTCTTTGGTTCTGCTAGCCCCTTCCAAGCATTCTTTGAATTTGGAACTCCTATTGGAAACAGAGTGTTTAACCTTCATGATGATGACATGGACATTGATGATCCACTTGGTCTGGGAATTGGTCATCATCAACGTCAAGGTGGCCAAGGTGGAGCCTTTAGGTCACATTCTTTCAACTTTGTTGGACCTAACTCAGGCAGGGGAGGCAACAAAGACCGTGCTCAAGATCCTGCCATAGAACATGATCTGTATATCACTTTAGAAGAAATTCTACATGGCTGTACGAAAAAAATGAAAATCTCCAGACGTGTTGTACAACCTGATAACACTACCAGAAAGGAAGACAAAGTTCTTACAATTAATGTAAAACCAGGATGGAAGGCAGGCACTAAGATCACCTTCCAGAAAGAAGGTGACCAAGGCCGTGGAAAAGTTCCAGCTGATATTGTTTTCATCATCAGAGATAAACCCCATCCTCTGTTTAGAAGGGAAGGCAGTGATATAAGATACACTTGTAAATTAAGCTTAAAACAAGCTTTATGTGGCACTGTCATTGAAGTTCCTACGCTTACCGGCGAAAAAATCAACTTAAATTTGACAAGAGAAATTGTTAAACCTAATTTGGTCAAGAGGATTCCAAATCATGGCCTACCATTCCCAAAAGAACCACCAAGGAAAGGTGATCTTTTGGTTTCATTCGACATCAAATTCCCCGATGCATTAACGCAAGATACAAAGGACATACTGTATGATACTCTGCCAAATTGAGAACACAAAATTGAAGGAAAAAAAGAAAGGATAATTGTCATCACAACGACAGTCCTCTAATCGTCCCAATTGACGAGACTAAACACTCGTGTACGTTCTAGTACATAAAGCGTGGTTAGAGAGCTGTGAAAAAATATTTGTTGAGGCGAAGCAAATAATAATTTTATCTCATAGCTAGGAAAATGTGATTTTTCCATTAGTCAAGTGTAAAAGAAAGTCAGTTTTTTGATTCGGATTTAGACAGGCTTATTTTCGTTAGAATTCGGAACGAAAGAAAAGATGGAGGATATGTTGCTTTGGTAGTACAGTGAAATGTACTTTGCCTTTACATGCGGGAAGAAAGATCCTAAATAGTGATTAAAAACGAATATATTACACTAAGTTATATGATTTAACAGAGAGAGAGTCTGTTACAGTGCAACTCTGTATGAATGCGATCTGATTAATTTTGTTCATTCTGTACATTCAGAGTATGTATTATGATATATGCATCTTGGGTGAATGAGTGTGTATTTGTGCGTGTGTGCATAGTCTGTAAGTATTGCTCTATGGCGCGGATTTGTATGAACGGTAGTTTCGTGGAAGTATGACAAATTGAGCCACCATCATTGTGTTCAAATCGTCATGTTTCTTCCCTCTTTTCTATTTTATTTCATTATTCATGTATCATGATTTAATTCGTTTTTGTTCTCAATGAAACGTGTATACGCAGTAAGAAGCTAGACGAGTATATTTAAAAGCGTTAAAAAGAATTACGACTTTACTTGTTTTTCTTTACACGCTCGCAGTGATCAGTGGAACATTTTGTCATATGGAAGCAGATGTGCCTGTAAACGACTATTTGTAATATCGAGCTGATTGTTTTCTTATGTAACGCGACTTCTTAATTTTAATGGTTGGTTAATTATTTGTACGCTAAAATAATATCGATACAATTAAGTGACACGATTTTGTATTTTTATTGGATCCTTTTGTCTCATGATTCGCTCCTACGCTGGATATAACATCGGGACACTCCTAAAATAGACAGCGAAGTAGGTGACGTCATCGTCCTATCTCCCGAGATACTTTCACACAAGTGCGTGGCGAAACAGTAGAATTTCAGTGTAAATACGTACGCGTACTGCACACGTAAGTAAAGTGTTCACCCTTTAATTTTATATACGTGTACACATATTATATTTATATTGATATACAATTTATCTGATATATCGACATATTTATATTTATATTGTATATACGGCATGAAGGAGGCGATCAAGCAATAATATTAACGAAACAAATAAAAATAAGTAGAAACACCACAGATATCTTTTACATGTAAACTATTCGAACCATTAATTTGAATTCTAAAAGAAAATTGTTTCATAATCACCAATTCATCGATGCTCAACACGATTTTTAGCCAAATGTATCACATTCGAAATAAATCTGTAAACTTTCGAATTTCTTACTTTACCTCGAGAAGTTGGTAGAATTTCATTCTTGCCTAATCGATTGTACTTGAAGATTCTCTTGATAGAGGGCTTATTCTAACTGTATAGTAAAACCTACAAAAACGAAATGAAAGAACTTCGTTCGATAAAAGAGGTACTTCTTACAAATAAAAGACCAAAAAAAAAGAAAAAAAGGCTGCCTGAGAAAAGAAACGTAAAATCCATTGGCAAATAACACCGACGAACTTTACTTTCTCATACGGTATAACGACTCGAAGACTATTTCCTCCGTCGGTTTCACCAGTTCCACGTAATCTTTATCGATCCATTCGTCGTCGTCCGGCGGAAACCCAATACCGTGCGACAAGGAGGTCAAGAGGGGCAATCCATCGGGGCCCAAGCTGAAATACTTGATCACCTGATCATTCAAACCAAGCCCTCCGGCGGCATGTGCGTTCTGAGGTCCGAACACCATGTCGTCCCTATCGTTCGTACGATCCTTCAGCTGCGTTTTCTCGAAGTGAAAATTCTCCGGCAGACAGTGGTGCTGGCGACAAAAATAATTTTGTCCCTCCTCGGTGTGGCACCATGTTCCATCTGGAAAGTATGGGTCAAGGCCAAGGTCGTTTAATTCCACGCGCGGCGTGTAATAAGATGCTATGTCTTTTCGCCGACAGAATATAGCGCAGGCCATCCATGGCCTTTCGGTTTCGTGCGGCGCTTGCAGTCCGCCACCCTTGCCGTCCAATTCTGGCAATCTTTCGCTGAATTCGCCGCACCTAAGTGTCGCGAAATCAACGATACTCTTACGTTTCTTCTTGCATAAATTATCATCCCTACATAATGCAACGTCGTAATGTAACCCTTGACAACCTGTTTCAGTGTTCTTCGGTGTTGGTTTGTTACAGAAACGTTGTCTATTTCGATAACCGGTGGATTTGAATAAACATCCACTTTTACACGGGCCATTTTTCCAATCGCTCCATCCACCAGGTTGAACGAAAGGTATGTTCGAGCCTGGATAAATTTGTAGCGAATTTTTACATTCACCACCGCGGCACTCCTTTCCCGCAGCACAGTATGTTCCATCCAAAGCTGGTCCAGCGAAGTAGTAACCGCTTCTATGCGGCGTCTTACACTGCAAAGACTCGCAGGCTTTGTAAAACGTGGCAACGGTAGCGTCTTTATCGCGAAGAAGCACTTCACATTGTCTCTTCGCGGTCCATTCTCTTCCAGGAAGATTGAAGAATCTCGTGTGATCTAGCCGACTGTTGCTTGGAGGAGTTGACTTGTCTGCTAAGCAGGGTTTCATGTATGAAAGCTTTTCAGCCACGTCGCGGCTGCATTCTGACCAAATTGTCTCGCCGTTGGTACCTCTGCTAGGGGACATTATGTAGCCGTCCTTTGGACACGAGTTACCCGTCGAATCATGATGCATTCCTAAGCTTTTTAGGGAAGAATGGTTAGTATACTTGCTGGATATTCAACGTGGATCGCCTAATTATCTTCTCTGGCTGTGATGGTACAAGAACACTTTTTTTTATGGAAGAAATGGCAAAGAATGATTGGAAGTTTCATATTTGATACAAAATTATAGAGTTAAAGGTCATTTTAAGGTTATATTATCTGCTACAACATAGAATAGAAAACAATATATATATTCATTTAAAAAACAACATAGGTGATCTTGAGAAAGGCACAAAAAAAAATTCATCTCCCATCGTATTTACCATTTGAGATTATTTTAATTAGTTAGAAGAATTTTCTCTTACCACTATAGCTATATAGAGAAGATAATTAGATGGCCTATGTTACACAGACTACCCTGTATATTTTTCAATTTCTTTTAATATTTTACTATTTCAATTCTTCGCAATTCTACTGCTTGACACTTACTTATGTCCAATTTCGTGAGCAGCTATGTAAACAGAAGTGAAACCAGCCGATGGAAATGGTTTTCCAAACTGATTAGTGACGCCTAATTCAGCGATAACGCACGAATACTGGTCGATGCATAATCCACCTACAACTGCCAGCCCCATCGTCGCGCTGTTCTTCTGTCCAGCTTCCGTAACGTAGAAATCTAGACCAGAAACGTAGAGGCTCATGTCCCAGTGATTAGGATGAAACTCATCCGGAGGATTCTTCTTCATCGAGTAACTGCAAAAGGAGTCCAACAATCGTCCACGTTCACCACCGTGATCCGGTAGATCTCTAGGTTGCTTCTGCATGATATCCAATCGAACGAGAGAGATATCGATGGTGACACCTAAACTTGGATGATGGTAGACAGCTTGCACGCCGTTTACGTAGGCTAGCAGCATGTCGAGAATCTGTTCGTCGTTCCTGTCGAAGAATGGGGAGAAAAGATTGTAGCCAGCCTCGTCGAAGAACAGTGCCAATTCTAATGTCAGAGCATCGTTTGGGTTATTTCTGTATAGATTTTCGTCCGGTTCTCCTATCTGATTTCCTTCTATAAGATCGTTGTACAACGGTGCACGATTGTACTTGGGCTGATCTTCGTAAAATTGGAAAGGACCGTAAGCTCTCTTGACGACGTGAGGCTCGCCTAACGTGTCTGAACGTTCTCTGATCACATGATCGTCGAAGAACGAGATTTCTTCATTCTGAAGCGGCGTGATCTCTAACGTGACGTTCTCCAGAAAGACCAAACCATGCTGAAAGAGTATCATTTTACGAACACGCACATGTTTCCCTTTCGCGTTACGAGGGGATACCTTCGAAAATCAGTGTACACATAATACTGACCACGCCACGTTCTCCACAGAGACTCACCGCAGCGGAACTGAAATCGTTTCTGTGAAGATAATGGCACGAGATCGATTTACCGAGTTCCGGGACCTCTTCGAATGTGTCCTCGTCGGTGTGCTTCCAAACTTGAAACCGAGAAGCTGTGATCTTATCGTTTCTACGTAACGTTAAGTCGACCGACTGATCGAACGCTTTGAAACTTAACGGTACCTGTAATTCGTTAACTCGAATGATACAAATGAGACGAATTACTCTAATATATAGAAAGAAAAAACGAAGAAGAAGAAGTAATGTGCCACTCTGACGACGTTTATGGTTTATAGATGTTACGTTGAGTGTGAATTTATCGAAAGTATAATACCTCTATCCTATCTTCCGCGTTCCACAATGGTAATAAAACAATTTCAATGTCCTGCATGTCCGTTGCACACGTTACACTGAATAAAACGAACAAGACCGTTTCTAACACGAAGGCCATTGCGCGCGTTTATAAATTTCAAGTTCAAGTACACTTTAGAAGAATGACAAACTTGTTCTTATATATACATATATATAGGCGCCGTGTGGGTGCATTTAGCGGTTGCGACACCCGTATGCACACCGTTTATCTTTTAGCAAAAATATATACACAATACGAGATGCATATGCTGGCACCTGTATTGAAAATGTCATTGACACTGAGATTTGAATGAATTGCGCAATAATAATGCATGACTTCTACGCGTTAAGATATATCGATGGATGCATAGGGAACGGAAATTCATTAAGAAGCACAATTCTTTATCTCCTTTTTTTTTTCTCCTTTATTTCTTTATGAATTTCCTATTCTATGCAACTTACGCGTATAATATACACACGTCAGATGATAGAGAAAAAAATAGAAAAATAAGATGTATATGTATATTCGTTTTGTTGCAATGTGAATTGTGATAAACAGCAATTGTTATGGAACGGTTAAGAATTTAATAAATCAAGATAAAAATGTGGTATATTTCAATGCATTGGTTACTCGATGTACAAAACAGATACTGTATGAAATATAATCTGTTCAGGTAGAACTTTGTACTTTGTTGCATTATATCTACAGATACTGTTTACATCTGTTTCATCGGTTCTATAAAATCGTGTTACGATCATTTCTTGTGTGTGTTTGTATGTGTGTATATATATATATATTTCTCACCATTATTCGCTCACGCAGCAAATCAATGAATTACCCTAACAAATGTACTAGCGTGTTCCTTTTAACATAATCAGGCAACATCGTAATAAATTTCTTCTCTTCCTGATGATATACGCTTAAAAATGTGTCTACCATCCCTATGCTGTTCTTTCTCTCTTATTTCATATCCACGACACCGGAAGAGATCGGGTGACGGAAAGATTGGTAACAATACAACATCGGTTTTTTTTTGTTTTCTTCATTTTCATAATTGTACTACGTGATTCATAATTTACGTTTGAATTTTCTTTTCTCATTGGTTGATTTGAAAACCGAAGTGGTAAGCCACGCAATATGGAAGGTAGGAATGAAAGAGAAAATATGCTTGTTACAAAAAACCTTAGTATTAAAATATTTCAATAAAAACAATAAATAATAATCATGATCAATAATAAAATTAATAGAAGATATTCGGCAGTGTATATAACACGCTAAACTTGGCAGGTGCCTACATCGTTATTTTAATTATATCGTATTAATGTATAAGGGGGATTATTAAATAATTCGATAACTAATTACAATCATACACGGCGAGCGATCGATATTTTTTTTTTCTCTTTTGCTCTCCAATATTGTTTTTTTTTGTTCGTCTATACAATTCAATCCGTGACAGTTGCGCTCCGGTTGATTATTCTCCTTTTCACTTTCCTGTTTTTTTTTTTTTTTTTTAACCATTTTTACACAACTTTCCGCACTATATTTACGACACAATGACTAAAAAATCTTTTTATACAACATGGATACGCGCGTACTTACGAAAAAGCGCGCCCGCATCTTATTTACAAAAGTCGAACACCTCGAATTCACCAGCGAGATTATTTCGAGTCCGATCAACACACCATTCTTCGCTGGGAAGTTTGTTTTTCTCTCTATATGCAACTCTCGTAGAGAGATCGTTCTTTGGATTATTCTGCACAATCTTACAAATCAGTGGGTAAATTTGTGCCGAAGAAACGAAAACAAAAATAAAACAAAAAAAAAAAGACAGTGATCAATTAGCTTTAACTTCCAGGTTAGTTGAAATGACTATTCTTCGCTGTCTGTCGTCATATACATTTATGAGCAACAGTGAACACTTCGATATATCGTATCCGCCGGAAACGAGTGGAGGATACGGAGCCGCGTATAAAATTTGCAGCGAATATTTGCTACGAACACACGTAGGTTTTGGTAGCTTCTTTTCCTTTCTGTTTTTCTTCTTTTTTTTTCAACTAATACGTTTTAATTGCGACGTCTATAATATATGGTACATTCTTTACACAGCACTTTTCTTTCTTTTTCTTCTTCTTTCATTGCCCTACTACATTTCACATACAACAGTCATATACCATAATTATAGATGCACCTGCGTTTTACAGTTTATTTCTTCCTTCATTTTGTTCTCAAGGAATATAATCTCTATGGTATTAGCATATATTTATGAAGGCAAACACATTCTCACCGTATGTCATGTATCAAATCGATAATGATAATCCTCTAAATTGCGTGTTTTTCTTCTTCGTTTCCCAAAAATTGTAGTGGCTAATAATATTAAGTTAAAATGCTTATCAGTGAGTAATGTATAACAGCGTCTTTCCGTCTTTCACATTTCAATATACGCGCGCGTGCTCGCGAGTGTGTATACGGCTAAATATTAAATACTTTTTTTTTACGATCGAAATATAACCTCAATTTCGCAGTACATTTAGCCTCACGATACAAGTCCTCCATTAAATATATATATTCCCAACAACGAAATATATAATAAAACGAGAACCAATTATCGAGCCATTCTCGTTCGGCTCAAACGTTGCTTGTTCATTAGCACAAAATAAAGAAGAAAGAAAAAAAAAGATTTCAGCCCGAACTCGGGAGCCGTGCTTCGTGATCGAGTCGAACTAAAAAAATGCAACATTGTACACATTTCGTAATAATTAAAAATTACTTTAAACACCACACTACCAAGAAGCATGGATGTTAAGGAGGGAAATAACATTTCTACTACAAAAAGAAACGATACATCCGCGTTCGAGAAACGCGGTACTCACGTTTGAATTTAATTCAGCAAACCTAACAGCCATATAAGAAAGAGAGAGATAAAGAACCCGTTAAAAAGCTTAATATACTCGCTCTTTAAGATACGGTGTATAAAAAGTTGATTAAGATTGTTCGTCATTCGAAGGCCACTGTCCTGAATGATTCCAATCCCAATCTTTGCCTTTAGGACGAAACTTACTGGTGCTACCAGAATTATTCCAATCTCTATGAAAAAACTTTTTCTTAAAATGATGACGCTCAGGATCCGGTTGACGTTGATATTTTAGAGGCACCGAGGATGATGTACTGCTACTGCTGCTGCTGCTGCTCGTACTACTGCTGTTGGATGGATTCGGTGGACGAGGACTGGTCGGTGAAGGTGTACGAGGAGGTCCAAGTGCTTCGTCCGGCGATGGAATCACTGGTGGAGGTCCCGTGACGGTACTATCCGATCCTAAACCACTATCAGGACTTGTGTTCACTCCCTCCGTCGATCTTCTTCGCTTGTCCAGCTCCGTGGACGCGAACGCAACCAGTCTGTCGAATCCAGAACTGATACGGTCTTGCCAATCTGCCTCTCCATCTGCAAAATGACTTGGACTTAGTTGCTGTACCGCTTAGGCATCGTAAGACGGTACAACGTATTTTCATAAAAATAAGCCAATAACCCTTCTCACTATCAATATAATAATGTGTTTGTACTCTTGCAACTGTTACTATGTCAACTACATTGTTTTTTTTTTTTAATGAATGGATTTTAGTAGATATGTTCACATATATGTGAGTGAATTATAGATGTTATGCAATGGAATGGTATTATTGATAAAATGGAAGGATATTGTCCAGGGTATTGTGTATGACAAATAGTATTTTGATGATAGCATATGAGAGATTGTATTATCTGAAATATGGTTGAAAGAGGTAGGAGAGTAATAAAGATTAAGCTCTGTAAATATTGGAACATCATGTGGTTAGTAAATAGGATTTTTATGTATAATACAGCATTTCTTTTTTGTTTTTCAATTGCATAATTGATTAAGTAATATGATGTGTATCATGTTTATATATATCATGTACAGTACCTTGTAACATCCACTTCATCGTTTCTTGTACAACATGTACAAGTACTCAATGAAGGAAACACTACATTAATCGTATTTAATATATTATCCTATCATGCAGAAAAGCATGCACCTAAATTACAAAAAAACCCATCAACTAAAGATACACTATATTCATATAAATCTAACATGCCCTGTTTGTTCTTGAATCTCTTAATATGCACAAGTAGACTGCAAATGTGAAATGATCTGTATCGGCGGAAATTTTTCTCGATCGAATTTTTCGAGTCTGGCTTATTTTCATGGAAATATTTTAATCGAATTTTGACATTATTGTATCGATTGTATGAATGGTTAAAGATAGCTAAGAGAATTGAATTTTTTTTATTTATCAAATGGCTGTAATAATGATAGTAAAAAAAACAAAAAAAAAAACAGAATTTTGAACAACCCCTGTGGGATAACTCACCAGCAACCACGAACCAACCCACAGGCAGCCGTAACTTTTTGATTTCTCCCTCTGAACGTGTCTCAATCTCTAATAAAACAAGCTTCAAGGGTTGTGAGTGAGATTGAGTATGTGACAGACAGATCTAACCAACAAACAGCTACAGTGCATCTAACAAATACAGCAAACAACAACAAAAATAAATATAAATAAAGATCAAGTACCAGCTCCATAAGATAAGGTAAACCATAGACGATTTTTTTAAACCATTAGTGCATAAAAAAAAACTAATAAAAGATGCATAGCAGAAACTAATACAACAGTGTTTAAAAAAAAGGTAAAGCAGAGGGTTTAGTAAAAGTTCTGTATAGCAAAGGTATAAAAGTATTTATGAGCAGAGTAAATATAAATCATACACCTGATATATAGCAAGATCAAAATACTAATAGTTAGAATGTAAAAGTATTTATCATTAATTTCAAAATTTATTCTATTCTATTACTGAGTTGGTAATTTGTACTGCTAAGTAGGGTTGTACTATAAAACTGAATTTTTATTGGTAAGTTCAGTAATTTTATTATTTAGTTTTTTAATATATTTTAACATGTTAAAAAGTTTTTAATATATCAATGTTTCTTCTTACAGCCAGTGTAGGAAGCATATTTCAAAACTTGAATATATACATTCCAAAGCATTTCCTATTCTAATACTTTTACAGAACGCATAATAGAAGAGAAAGAATAAAAATATGAATATATTCTGCTTACCGTCATCGCCAATACCGTTTCGTTGTCTCTGCGTTGTCATTTGGGGTTCATCGACTAGTGGCGTAGACGTATTAGAATGTGGTTCTACGAGAGGGCTTAATGGCGCTCCACTTGTGCTTACTGACGATACGACTGCCTCTGTTTTTACTGACACTGAGGGTTGTGATGGACAAATAGCCGTCACCATACCATTTGTTGTCGCACTGCCATTATTGTTACTACTGGTTGCATATCGAGGGTACGGTTGAAATCTACCACAAAAAAAAAGAAAAATAAGGATTAGATGGTAATTTCATCCAATATGGGATGGAGAAAAAAATGTAGACGAAATTCCAATACCTTCTATTCGTAGAAAGCATTGGTTCTGTTTTTGGGTTGGGATTATTTAATATGCGAGCATGTAAAGATGCAGCTAATCCTTCTACTGGCAAAAGTTCACCGTTTGATGTAGCCTGTGATGAATGTAATGATGGTGGAGGATGGGTCTGCGCGAGCGACTGAGAAGGATTGTCAGTGAAATACGACTCATGATAAGGTTTGATGTCTGCGCGAGGTAACTGAACTGGTGTATATCTAAATAAGAAAAGACAGATAAATTATAACATGGAACTGCCTATACACACAAACATAATTACTCTCAGATAAACATATAATACGATACCTTTGTGGTTGTGTTACTGGAGTGAATAATACGGATGATCTCGAAGTAGTGGTTGGAGTACATGTTGAAACTGTAGAAGATGTTGGTGCATAACTCGCTACGTGCGCAAGAGTTGACAAACCAGCATCACCCTCTGCACTAGCTGGTCTACTAATAGGAGAATATACAGCTTCCGGCCTTATCATTGCGCTCATATCGACAGCCGCATTTATTATGGATTGATTGGATATCTCTAGCGTTCTTTCTATTTCTCCACTGACCAAATCACCAATTGTTCTAGTACCGAGCAGTCCGCTTCCTCCTGTTACAATACGATTGTCATGACTCGGTTGCCTAGAGTCGATTGTTGGCCTGTCGGTTGGTGTTAAATGAGAAGAAAGACGTTCCTGAGATAGATGACGGCGAAGTGCTAACTTCGCGGGTGAAACCTATAAGAGGATGATTGAAATTATTTATATATTGGATGTATAATTAATATATCGGGTGTAACCGTAAACTTACCTGTGTGTAATCAGGCGTAGAAACATTTTGTGGTAATGCAATACGTTTTCTATCTGGTTCAGTCTGATTTTGTAATTGCACCTGTAGTTGCATTTGTTGTTGTTGTTTATTTCTATTTTGTTGATCTTCGTTCAACACACTTGTAATAATACTCTTTAACCTATCTTCGAAATTCGCAACCCTAGGAGGTTCCTGTGTTCTATTTGATGCTTCCTTATTACTTGTCTGCGATTGTGAGGATGATATGGATGACGGAGTAGTAGAAAAACTGAGAGATGCTTGTGGCAGTCTGGTTCTAGAATTGCTACTGGTACTGGTATTTTGTCTGTTTAATATTCGGCCAGCTTCTATTTGCCTGCCTGTTTCTAAAATCTTTTGCGCCAGTATTTCCGGATTGTTCTCCTGTATCTTTCCGATATCAGGGACATCCGGCCATTCTTGCGATCTGGAACGTCCTTCTCTGTTTTTCCGCGACGATCCACTTTTTCCATTTTGTTGTTGATGATGATGTTGATTTTGCGAATGTTTAGAGCCTATCGCTTCTCTTTGTTGTTGAACCATTGCAGCAACTTGTTTTTCATTGCTTGCTCTTTCCAATACGTTTAATTCATGTTCCAATTTGGATACCTATGAGTTTATTAGAGTTCAATTTATACATTTACATATTATTTTCTCACTGTACATTAACTTGTAATAGTACTAACCTGACAGTGTAGTCTTTTACGCTGAGATAGAGTTGCCGAAATTTCTTTCAATATATAATCCTGCGTGAGTGGTTGCGGTGGATTTGATATGCTGTTTGTGTTTGTGAGATTACTATACTTCTCTTGCAGTTCTTGATGTCTAAGCGCAGTTAATCTCGACTGTTCATTTTCCATGGATGCGACTTGAGCTTGTAGTTTACTTGCTTTAGCTTGTAACTGTTTGTGTCTAAGAACAATTTCTTTAGCCTTGGCAAGTAAATCTCCAGGCGATGTTGCATTTATACCTAACTCGGTCATCCTTGCTTTCAAAAGTGCTACGCTATCGTCAATCAATACTTTTATCTGCTTTTCTAGTTGCGCCGCTCTCGACTGTAATTTTGAATTTCTCTCTCTTTCTTTTGCGATATCTGTATTGACTGACACTCTGTACGAAGGAGTTCTCATTGATTCTAACATGAGCATGAATTGGTCCCTGTATAAAAACATCAATTTATAGAAAAAAATTCGTACAGTACATGTCCTCCATTTTATAAAAACAAACATACCTGTACAAGTCCAAAAGTATTTGTAAAGCATACGGAGTGGCGGACGGAGCAGGTGGTATACTAAGTTCTTCATGCACAGAGGTGGAATGTGACTGTAATGAAAGTGATAATGAAGACAGCTGTTGATCCACGCAACCAGGCGCGGGTGGTGGTTTCTTTCCTAAAGCTTGAGGAGATGTGCTAAGTAATGTTTGACTATGCAGCAGGTCCAAACCAGATATATTAATCGCTTTCTTAGGCTTGGACTTCTTCACTCCTCTTCCTCTCTGTCTACCCCTAGCTGGCGGTCTTGTTATACCATTTGATTTTCTATTTAATTTTCTACGAATCTTATTTGGTTGCCGACGATTTTTCATATTATTCTCATCTCCGTCTGAATCGCTATTCGTTCCCTGTTTTTCCGAATGATTCGGACTTTCTAATTGTCTCGAAAGATCTCGTTTCGCTCTGTCACCTCTCTCACCCCTATTTGTAACCTTATTACTACTGCTGGCAGTGTTATTTATCACAGAATCAGAGTTTTCATCGCCACCTTGCTTATTATTTTTTAATCGATGGAAATAACGTTCTAGCTTGGTACGATCAATTACGTGTAAATAATAAGACACTGGTTTACCAGTCCACGACACAGAGCCCTTTAGCGGTGACATTTCCGAGACGTGCATTATTGTACCAATATCTGTAAATAAAGAATTCGTGTTTCTGAACTTATAAAAAAAAAAATAAGTAAGAAAAATATTTATATAAATAAAATATATTACCACTAAGATTTCTATCCGTGATGCGAAAGTTGAGGGGGCAAAATGACTTTGACGATACTATACGTGCACCATCCCGCAAATCAGCAAATCGTTCTTTCAACTGGTGATCCACCGTTGGACCGAATGCAAAATTATTGACAAAAACAATTGTAGCTCCAGTAATGCTTTCACGATGTTCGTCAGCTAAAAAATCGCCTTTTACCAAACGATATTCGCCGCATCTTTTTCCATACCAATTCAACCATTTACGAAAGTTTACTTCCATACTCTAATATTTGACAGAAATAAGAAACTTGTACACATAAAAAAAAAACTGTGCTCAACTAAGTGGCATTATCTTAAAAGTCTATTAAACAAATAACATACCTGTGCATATCTTGATGGTACATCAGCTCTTTCAACACCAATACAAATTTTACACAAAGTTGCTGCAGCCATTTGTAAAACTACTTGACCAACTCCAGATCCCAAATCAACAAATACATCATCCTCTGTTACATCAATTTGATCAATCATTTGACAGACAAGCTCATAACTTGTTTCTCCATATACTTCTGGTGAAAAGGGCTCATACTGATTTAATTTATCTGGTTCCACTACTGCTTGATTATATGTTTGTTGAAGTATATGCCTTAATAAACCACGACTGGGTCTTTTATTTAGCCTCTGAGATGGTAAACTAGTGCCCTTCTCCTATATCAAATTATTTTAAATCATGAGAATATGAAATTATAAAATAGTGATTAATCTTTTTTTTTTTTACTAAACACATTTACTTACCAGCTGAACTAAACTATCAATTGCTCTATTAAATCTGTCACATAAATTTTTCATACTTTCATAATCTCTTGTGTTATAGTCACACAGAATGTTATTTTCTAGTGGTAATTTTAAATCTGGCAAATCTTCACAAACCCATCGCATTGTTTCAACAACATCAAGTGCACCATCGTGACGATCCTATAATTGATTGATATAACTTGTTTAAGTAAAATAATGCATCAATCTGATAAACATTAATTAAAATTGTGTTAAATTATTTAGAATTTCAAGCACAAAATGTGAAAGTATTTCCTCAAGTATGAATATAACTACAATATATTTCAAATTGTTTTATTGCCAGTCAATATTTTTGAACCAACAGAAAATTTTTTACCTCAGATATATTTTATAGAACTAGGTTCAACAGAAGGTACTGTAAACAGAGGACAAGTTATATACTAATAAAAATTTACAGAATGCCATAAAGTGTACCTCTTATTTCTTGACATTTTCTACTGTCATAAATCACTATCCTTGAGTTTACTGCTACAAGTACAGATTTGTTTAAATAACCATTGAATAACTATCTATATATTTCAATGTATACAAAACATATGTTTAAAAATATAAATTAACAACATTACATGAACATTACTATATCAAAATTTAATTGTTTTATTAAAAAAGCATTTACAATTTAATATAAATAATTTCACATGTATACAAAATATAATTTACAATAATGTTATGTCAATAAATCTGATTGATTAGTATCTAAATGTACAATCGTAGTAGTAATTACGAACATTCGATAAATAATTTACGTTACGTAATGAATATGAAACGATTAAGTCAAGAGTTATAAAACCATTTAAAGAAAGAATAAACGAATAATGATGTCTGTATTCTTCCTCTCTTACATATGTACACACGCGCACACACACATACGCATAAGTGTGCACAGTGTGCAATTAAAGATTGTATGTGTAAATAGTTATTAATAATCACGCGATAAAGAAAACTCGAAAAAACTCGGACGTTTTTATACGTTCGGTGTAATATAAACGTGACAGTATAACAAAATAATGAAGCGAAGAATTCGCGTCATACGATACATGCACGATCAGCTGTGAGTATGCGAGATAAACGACAGGTCACACGGTAACTCGCTATATGGAATATCGCGGATCTCTTATACAGAATGATTCCCAGTATACAATTAATGAAATTTACTCACAGATCCGGATCCGGAGGTGAGGGGCCATTGATAGACGATCGGTTCTGCTCCGGCTGGCGAGTGCAGGCGCAGCTCCATTTTAACAGGGCCGTCGTCCTCGTCCCCGTCGTCGTCGCCGTCCACTTCTTTAGTAAAGCGTTTCGTTCGCAGGCCCAGCTCAGGATGTATGACGTAACCACTTGAATTAACCGTTCGGTGGAGGATCGTGGTTGCTCGTCCTCCACGCACTAGGACACTACCACCACGTAGACGACGCTCGCGGACCCCCCCCGCTCCGCGGTTACTTCCCCGGACATGAAAAGACACGAAGGGCCACTTTCAGCGACCGTCAACCCTCGGGGACAAGCGTCAGCCTCAAAGGCGGGCATTCAACTTCGACGCGACGATGGAGAGTGCGAATGGAGCTCGCCAAAACGGCCACCAGGAACACGGAACACGAGGCGCAGAATAGAAAAACACTGACAGACTATTGTGCTGCTCGAGAAACAGCGGTTTGGGGGGGATGACGACATCAAAACATGGCGTCATGTCTCTTCCTTCTACCGTATCGTGCTCGTGCGGCAGCACATCCGGGTGTTCCGCGCCAACTTGCACTATTGCGCATGCGCCTCGGGAACCGTTGAACTTTCGACCGCGGATACAACTTTCTTGTTGTGTTATTATTTCATATTTTTTTAACAATCAGTTTATTTCTTATTTCCTTGCGAAATATAGATTTATTAGGACTGTTATAATCTAACGGGGATATTAACAGGGTCGTTACAAGAGATTGTTTCCAATGTCATACTGTGATGTAATAATTTGATAACGCGTTTAGGATTACAAAACTTCTGTAGACTGGAAAAAAATTAGAATGTCAAGTGCATATATTGTGTATAAGTTGTTTTCTTTGATAAGTAAAAATGTTTGTTTTATATATAAGGGTAATCTATACGCGTGGTTATGTACATATAAGAGCGAAAGTTCCGATATCGATATTTCTAGAAATGCAATTACATCTACGGGATGACCTATTGGTGGAACATGGTATTTGTCACGTAGGCAGTCACGCACAAGATTCAGCGCCTCTATAGATAGTGTACAGAACTTTACGCATACTACTTAAGGTCATCGTTTTATCGCCATGAAAAAGTAAAGGTGAATGGAACACCGGAAGTACATTTGACAGGATTCAGTAATATGAAACCCACACAAAAGATCATATCCTTTAAATATATCAATAAAAAAGTTCTACTTAATGTTCTGTGTACGTGCAAAAATATCGGTTAATGTTTTGATACACCTTACGGGATTTATACGAACTACAAAGTACAGTTACCACTGAATGACGTGTTACGCATATTTCTTGATTGTAAATTGTAAATATATTGAAAGTAGGTTAATTAGGTAACATAATAAACGTGTAGCCATGACGGATGAACTGAAATTAGATCACCGAGCAAAAAAAAGGATCAAAGAGGTTAAGAGGAAAGCTAGACCAGGTAAACATGTCATAACCTAATTTATAACCTATACGTTGACGTGATGTGGGCATAATTATTTTTAACAAAGCAATTGTTCTTCACTACTTATTTTATATTGCTAGTATGACTAGAAGTAATTGAGACAACGTTTGTCTTCTTGTGACGCTCGTTGTTATAAACAAAATTTGGAAATGCGATACAAGAACGAACTGTCTTTGCCGACCTTGGATGATGTAACTCCAAATTTACTGAAAGTATTATGATAACATTATAATATAATGCACTCATACGTAAATAGTTTACCGTTTCAACTGTTGTATAGGCATTGAACATTCTTCATTACATAGTGTCAGTAATGCATATAAATATTAAATGTTGATAAAACTTTCATTGTTTACATAATATATTTCATTATTTTTGTATTATTAAAACGTCCTATTTTGTTACATGGTACTTATGCTTTGCTATATTAAAATTCAATATTTGTTCTAGAACTTGGTGATAAAGCAACTTGGATCCAACATGGCTACAGTAAAAAATTTGAATCTTTTTGGAATTTTACGGATAATGTGGATCGTATTGAGGAATCCAAAGTGGCTACAGAAGAATTTATAGAGAAATATGAGAAACCTTACAAGCCTGTGATAATACAAGGTGTTCAAAATGGCTGGAAAGCCCAATACAAGTGGACTATAGAGGTACATGATTATTAAATTGCAAATCATATTTTTTAAATACAAGGTGCATTATAAATATCTTCTGACAATAATTTCCTATAAATTGCAGAGATTAGTAAAAAAATACAGGAATCAAAAATTTAAATGCGGCGAAGACAATGAAGGATATAGCGTGAAAATGAAGATGAAGTACTATGTACGCTATATGCTTAATAATGAAGACGATTCGCCTTTGTATATCTTTGATAGTTCCTTTGGTGAACATCCTAGACGAAAAAAATTATTAGAAGATTATGTTATTCCTAAATATTTCCGCGATGATCTTTTCCAATATGCCGGTGAACATCGAAGGCCACCATATCGCTGGTTCGTTATGGGGCCTGCAAGGTCTGGTATGTATGCTGCTTAACTTCATAAAGGCAAGCAAAACATGTATAACAACAAAATGTTTACAAATAACCATATAATTGCTTTATTAAAACAATTATTTTAGAACACGTTATGAATAAGTAATGTAAATACAGGTACAGGCATACACATAGATCCGTTAGGAACGAGTGCCTGGAATGCACTAATTTCTGGACACAAACGATGGTGTCTATTTCCTACACACACTCCTCGAGAACTTCTTAAAGTATCTGCAGCCGAGGGCGGTAAACAAAGAGACGAAGCTATTACATGGTTTTCCATTATTTATCCTCGTACAAAATTGACCACCTGGCCACAAGATTGTTTACCAATAGAGATTTTACAAAATCCCGGTGAAACTGTTTTTGTTCCTGGTGGATGGTGGCATGTTGTTTTAAATCTTGATGAAACTATAGCTGTTACTCAAAATTTCTGTTCCCGTACAAATTTCCCAGTAGTCTGGCATAAAACGGTAAGAATTTATACATGGAAATATAAGTTCAATAAAATACATTTCGTATGCATGCATCTTGCCTATAATTTTTAAACCTTAAACATATTTCAATAATTTTGTTACAGGTAAGAGGGAGACCAAAATTATCACGTAAATGGTTAAAAGTACTCAGGGATAAAGAGCCAGAATTAGCATCACTTGCTGAAACTATAGATGTAAAAGAAGACACAGGTGTTGCCAGTGATTCTTCTAGTGGTTCTTCAAGTAGCTCCTCGAGCAGTAGTAGTAGTAGTCAATCAGAAGATAGTGCAGATGACAGTGGTCAAGAATCATTGACAACACATAAAAAGAAGAAGAGGTATGTACTTATTTTTTGTTATACGTATTTTACATATTAAAAGAAAACCATAGTTAATATTATTATTAGTCCATTTATTCATTGTAATTATAAATATAATTAGACATAATACTGCTTTTAAATTTTTAGAAGAAAACTAAATAACAGCCAACCCTGACAATATCAAGCATTTGGGACCTACATAGACCTCAGACTGTACAGTATTAACCAACAATTATTGTTTGTACTAAGAGTAAATATTATAATTATTACCACCTTCATGTTCATAATAAAATAAATGCTAGATAATACCAAACTTGTTCTTATTAAGTAAATTTGTTTAAACCCTATACTTAACTGACGATAATGCACTTAATTTTTGCTGAATCAATGTATTAATATTACATCTTTGGACTTCATTTTTCTGTATACTATAAGAAATGGTTCCGTTATTTAAAAATCACCGTTTATAAATTCTATACACGTTAAATGCTTATATCAAGTAAGGCAGTACACGCGAAACTTATGACATTTAAAGATAAAAATGCATCCATATATTTGTTCTAAAGCATAAAATATCCAAATTAACATGTCAGCAAGAAATAAGTCAGGTGCATTATCATTACAAATTCTCGTATTATCTATTTTGTTTTAAATTAATACAAGTTAACAAATAAATAAAAAAAATTATAGCTATGAAATAAATACAATATTTCCAATAAGTGCATGTATTAACTTTTCAACGAGTTGCTTCTGTGGAAAGTTCTTGCATCTCTCTCATAGTAGCTCCACAGCCTCACCTTTCCGTCGCTTCATGGTGACCATGCAAAGCACCAAATTGGAGTGTAAACAACATAGAAGCAAAGTAATACAAAAATTAAATTAAATTTTCATAGTCCACTTACATTTTTATGATTAGTACAGAAATATTATTTTCTACTACAAGTTCATTCAAACATAAATGTTTAACATGGAATACATTCACAACTGCAATCACACTATTAGTGACAAATCCTTGCTAAAAACTCGCAAAAATACTTTTAAAAAGCAATACTTCGTACACACAGCGTTGATAGTAACGAATGATAGTTAATCAGAAAAAGAAATGTAAAACTTTAGAAAACATCATTAAATCAATTTTTCGTATTCAACAACTAATCTAGTGTGTAGTATCATTAAATAATTTCACAGAACTTTAAAGCGCATTTCCGATTTCCATTACATCCGAGTGTGTTCATTAATAACATGTCAAAGCATTTGATGCAAAAATAAATAAAAGTTACTATCATTGCATGATTCATTTTTTCTTCGTGGTGAACAATAATTTTGAAAAAAGAAGAACTATAATAAACGTGTGAATGCATAAACGAACAGACTACTGACTTTTCTTATTAGTATTTACTAGTTAAAATGTTAAAAACTTGTCCAATAAAAATCACGGCAGATATTCACGATAAACATGTCCACACACTTTTGTAAAACAGCAAAGTGTGTTTAGACAAACATGCGCATCACCACATCAACAACTTATAAATGCAAAAGAATACTATGCAACAAAATAGAAAAATAAGTTAAAGAGAAACTGTGGAAATAGACATGGATAATGAGGAATCGGGAATACGCCACAGCTTCACCTCTCCAGAGCTGCAATCAACATTTGAGATGTTATTCCATTCAAGAAAATTATAATACATACTGAACCCGAGCAAATATTTCAACTAAAAATATTTTATGTAATCAAATAATCAAACTCAAACGGAGTAATAAGAAAACTTTTACGTTATTGCGGCTTATATTTTCAGTATGCTTCGGGCCAGTTTAATGTAAGTAATAATGCAAAGAAATATACTTACTTGCTCGCGGTAAAAACGTGTTGTTGATTAGTTATTACAGCATTGATAGCTGAACCATGTGCTCGAACTTCGCCTATCGCAGTGCATTCTCCTTGATCCTTTGGTACAGACCAAGCCTTTAAAACTCCTCCTCGACATCCTGATATCATTACAGAACCATTATTAATCATACACAAGCCCAAAATCCAGTCTTTATGAGCATTATTTAAAGATTGAACTAGTTCCATTCTGCTTAGGTCCCATCGTTTAATGCACATGTCCCTTGAGCCTAAAAAAAGCAGTCAATACAAATTCTAATGAGATTTTAAAAACATTAATGACTGTAATTAAACACTGATTATAAAAATACTTGCCAGAAAACAGTGTCGAATTGCAGGTTGTCAAACACTGAACGCCATCGTAATGTGGCGGTGACAGACTGACAGATTGTCCGGACTGGTTCGGTTCGACAAGAGATATCAAATGATCTTTGCTGCCTGTTATCACTCTACCATCATCTGCCACAGCCAGGCACATTACTGCTGCCGTGTGTGGTGTACTCAATCTTCCACTATGGGTTAACTTTCGAAGATCCCATACTCTGACTTTATCGCTAGCTGCAGTATATAATTCTTGCTCATCTATACTCAGTACTAAATCGTTGATAGTCGTTTCACCAGAAGGAACTTGAAGCATTCTAGATGGAGTAGACAACGCGATTGGCCCACTTTGAGCCTGACCAGATGAAAATAAAGTTTTCACGCAATTGTTGCCTGCTCTTAAATCCCAGACTTTTACGTAGGCCGAAGAAACGCTGAATAATAAATTATATATCGGTGAGTATTTCACTGCTACAACATTGTTGGGATGACCAGTCAATGTGAGATTTTCAATTCCTGTGCCTAAATCCCATACTTTCACGGTTCGATCTAAAAATTAATTAAATTATAAGTAGTGTTAAGTTAGGATACTTTTTCAATCCTCGTACCTTTTGAACCACTGAACAGCAAATCTGAAGTTGCGCATATAGTTAGAACTGCTTTACTGTGTCCCTCAGCCACTTGAGCGCATTGCAAAACGGCGCGTGGTTGTGCCTACAACGAATCATACATATCAGATGTACATAATTAAATCCTTCATTCGTGTTATTTTTACCTTGCCTTCATATTGAGAAATAATTCCTTTCATAGGCTGCGGCTCTGTCAATGCAGGTTGTCTACTTGCAGTTAGCCTTGAGAAAACGTTCTCCTCACGACTGTTGAATCGTCGGTATATGGTCGGAGATCCAGGAGGTGACGGCACATCTGAATGTGTTACCTGTTCCCTAGTTGAGGGTTTGTTATGTTAGCGTGTTAGTTAGCCGGGCTTTTTATCAATTCTAATCCAGGCTAAGCTATGTTGGCTTCAGACAACATGGATCATGCAAGTGCATTATTATAAGATATAATTACAAATTGATTCGAATTTAATTAGTAATATTAAACATTGTTGGTTTTGTAAGTGTATTAATTCTCGGCATATTATATGTTCATGATTACATATTGTGGTACAAGAAACTATAACACAGTAATATTTGAGAAATTAAAAGATTTCATGATTAGTGTATGGTCTGTGAGAAAAATTCATTGTAAACAATGCACATCATGATTCGTTATAAAAAAAATATTGGAAATAATTGAAAGAAAAACATAAATAATTCACCAAGGGACTTTTTACAAGTATTGTCATAGGACAGTGCACCTTATATGTTTGTGCTTTTATTTATTAATTGACATGTATACAAAATAACTGCTTACATATTTACAAATGCATAGTCTTTACGCGAAACAACGTGCTTCGTACAGATAGAAATTTTTATGACATTTATACATATTTATATTGCAAAGAGCTGGAAGTATATATAAGTATAATACATTAAATAAGCTGTTTTACGTTAAAACAAGCTTAATGAAGTACCTGTAGTAACAATAATAAATAAGGTGTTGTTATTACCAAGCTTCGCGAAAGCTAAAAGATTTTCGAGTGTTCTTTGCATAAGATACAAAATTTTATACAAATCAGATCTTTTTTCCTTACGTGATACTTTTATGTTATTATTCTTATTTTATAGATTATTAATTTAAACAAAATTTAGCGATAGAAATTTTCTTCGTAAAAACGAAATACAAAAAGGATAAGAAAAATAATTTTTTAATTAATTAACAGAATATATTAGATTCCTTAATAAATATCTTCTTAAATCTCAATGATATTTTTGTTGTATCATAGTGTTTAGAACAAAAATAAAAATTGTGTCATTGATTTATCTCTGTTGTCTATGACTCAAAACTAAATTAAAATTTGTTGGTGAAAACTACTGATCAATGCACTTGTTTGAAAAAAATGATACAGATTTCTTTAAGAAAAAAATTTAACCAGTAGTGCATGAAACAGGGCATCAAGACAAAGATATACAAAAAATATGAAAAGAAAGACGTGCTGCAGAATTATCACTCACATGGAGCCTCCACCAGGATGAAGTGGTCGTCGCAGTGGCCTTGGTGATGTACTATCACGTCGACTTAGGGTTGGGGATCCACCGGTTATGTTACCATACTGACTCCTTGTTAAGACTAATCCTCTTAACAATACAAAGATTTTCTGTTTTATATTCCGAGCTATACAGTTAAAAAATTGATGACAAATTACACTTACTTTAAACTACCGGGTGCACTAGGTACCCTTGTAAGTGGGTGGTTATGATTTTGATTTTGTTCTTCTGCTTTCAAAATTTCTTGGTTGGCTTGAACTCCATAAAGAAGTTCTTGAGGTTGCGTAGTTCTCCGCCGTACTTTATTATTACGCTGTCTGTCTTCTCCAATTATAACTTGACTGTAATTTTCACTAATATTCCAAATTAAATAAATATCGATCATTTATTTTATATTTTTTTAAAATTTGTACATGACTTACATATCGGGTGATGAACTTCTTGAACTTGGGGGACTATAATTTAATGTATTATGATGATTACTCGTAAGAGACAAAAGATCTCTGTCTCGCAATACATGTTCCAATAATTGATGCTGTACATCACTTTCTTGTGCGACTTGATTTAATCTTGACTCCATATCTCGAACTTCATGCTGCTTTTGAGCTGCCACACAACTTTGCTCCACAGTAAATGCTAACATTCTTTGTAATAAATATTGAGCTTCATCTACTGAGTGAATCGTCGATATAAGAGCTTCGACACCAGGTTCGCCTTCACCTTCTCCATCTCCCATTTCCATCATATCACGTTGGCATTCGGCAATACTATCCTGTAAATAACGGTTTAAAAAAAAACGAAATACCATCTAATTAATATAAAAAAAACAGTTACCTGTAAATAACTAATTTTACTGTTCACGTTATCAATTTCTTCATCAATGTCGGTCGTGTCTCCCCTCGAATTTTCTATAACTTTTCTGTGTTTCTGAAGTCTTTCAAGTTCTCGACCTAATTCGTCTCGTTCTTGAAGAAGTCTCTCCATTTCCCTCTCCGTTTCTGCTGCTGCTTGTTTAGCTAACGCTTGCTTTGCAATGGTTCTTTCAAATGTTTGCCACCTTTGTTTTAACGCTTTCGGATTGATAGGTTTAGGTGGTGCTCTACCAGCAACTTTTTGACTTAGGCCTCTGTCTCGTTTTCTTAATGCCGATACTTCCTCCTGTTTACGTCTAAGCACAACTTCTTTCATTTTCTTATCTGCTTCAAGCGTTCGAATTGTATTTGCGTTCTTTCTACTCTCCTTACGCAATTGTGCGATTTCTCTATTACGTCTTAGTTCATTTTCTTTGTGCTTCTGCGCCTCTTCACGCATTTTATTCAAAAGCTTTACTTTCGCTCTTTTCATCTCTGCCAATTCATTTCGAAGTCCTCTCAACCTGTTTTCACTCTGAGATTGATTCTTGAGTAATCTCGCGTGTTCCTTCTTTGCAGATTGCAGAAGACGCACTTCTTTTTGCATAGCGGAAAGTTTTTTCTCATACTCGTCACGTAATTTTTTTACTTTTTCTGTTGGTGGCGTTGGTTGCTGTTGTAAGGACTGTAATACTTTGTCTCTTTCTTCTTGAGTATCTCTAATGCGAGCTTGTAATTGAGCAAGTTTATCTTCATAGTGTTGCTTCATCGTGTGTAATTGCCGTTGAGAACGTTCGAGCTCTTGTATTAATCGTTGTTTTACATCAATATCTGACGTTAAAGCTTCTAATTCACGGCCCATAGCTGCCTCCTCTTCGTCTTCTTCTGCAAAAATTTACACGTAATGGTTATTGATATATTTTTCGTAAAGTTCCGTAATTTATTTATTTATAGTATATATAGAAATATACCTTTTCTATCGGAATCATCGTCTGAATCATCTTCGCTTACAGAATCTTGACCAGCTTCTACATCATCACCTTCTCCTTCATCTCCCATTTTACTGGCAGTATTAATAGTATGTATCTGCTGCCCTTTTAATGCAGTTAATGTTTCAATTTCTTTTTGTACCTCTTTCTTAGCATCACTTAATACTGACGTAGAATCGCTATGGAATATATACCCAGAATCACCATAGGGATTAGCCGCATTAACCTGTGAAAATCGAAACTTCATTAAGAAATCACTTGTTAAATGCAGCTATAATAGGTATACTATTTTACATAAACTCTTATGTACCTGTATTTGTCGTTTCTTTATCTGTTGGTACATAGCCTCTGCTTCCAAAAGACGAGCTCTTAGCTCTTCTATCTCTTGAATGTATCCTTGTATTAAACTTGTTACTTCAGGATTCCCACCAGCTGACGATATCCACAGACCAGCAACTTTTTCTGCCTGTAGACGAACATTTTTTGCAGTTAATGCTTCAACCGTTTCTGAAAGAGCTTTTACTCGTGTACGAAGACTTTGTAATTCACTGTTTAACATCTGGTTTTCATGCCAAGCATCATTTACACCATCTTCACCAACAACTCTCTTGCCTAAAAAGAAATGAACAATAGTTTAAAGTTGCAATTTTTTATAATGAATTCAAAAATTAATTTTTCTCAGATACTTCATATTGTACACATTTACCTTGCTTATACTCCATTAATTCTAGTTGAAGCTGCTGTATTTCTCTTCTAAGAGAAGCAATTGTTCTTGAACTCTTATCCTGATTAATTGTGACTTTGTTCTTTATATTTCTTGCCCTGTTTGCATACTTCAGAGTACTTAAAGTTTCCATAAAATCTCTATCACTTGGTGATACACAGGCTATCATAACAGTTTGACTATTACCTATAATCATTGCATGTGATTTTATTCATATAATAATAAATATAGTAATATGTATTTAAATAAAGCACTGAGTATTACCTCCTAATGAATCTTGAAGTAGCCTAGTCAACTTTGAGTCTCTGTATGGAACATGTAAAGCTTTCTTTGCTTTGTCACCAAGTGCAGAAATCACATTACCTAAAGCCAACTATAATGCAAAAAATAATTGCTCCAATACTGATTGATATATTTTGTAATTGTCTTATAAAATTATCAACTCATTACCAATCCACAATTTATAGATATCCCCTCTTTTGCTCTATCCCCTGTAGCACCTGTTCTTTTTAGTCTTTCTGATCCAGCTAAATCTACAAAATGAAATTTTGCAGTTAAAGTTTCAAATTCACTGGCAGGTTCAGTGCCACTTGTATCAACATCAGCATCTGGATCTTCAACTCTTGTACATCTCTGCTGCTTTATATACAATGTAAATATTGCATGTGATCTAGATGACTGGGTATTCATTTGGGTAGATCCAGTTGTACGTGATAATGCTCCTAATCTTAAATATTCTAATGCTTCCTCTGGACTAGTAACAATTTGAGGTTCCACTCCTGCTAAGTGGATGTTTCCTGAGGAATCTTCATGAATACGGGCACCACCTCTGGGTCCACCAGGCTCTAATAAATCTTTTAAGTCTTCATTATACAATTCCAAAAATTGTGCAGTAACCTATTGCAACACATAAGAAATATAGTTCACAGAGAAGAAACACTCTATCTCATAAGGTATTAAATTTCATTTTCACATAGAATAATTTATCTCATTAATGTAACACAATACAAAGATAAAACAGGTCAAATTACATCATATAATATAAACATCACATTTCTAAGATTAATTTGATTTATGAGTGTATAATATTGTATATAAATATTTTTTTTTTTCAATTTAACATTACAAACCTTAAATTCTGGAGGCATTTGTGCACGTTCCCTAGCATGTTCTTGTTTGTCTGCAATCCCATTGAATAGGTGTCTGATAGCTCTTGGAATAATTCCAACTACAGTTTCATCAACTTCTACACCAAACCCAGTACCCATGGTATATGTTTTACCAGAGCCAGTTTGACCATATGCAAGAACAGTTGCATTATATCCATTTAATGCACCTTCCACTAAGTGTGCAACACAAGTATCATAAATTGTGCTTTGTCCAATAGCAGTATCAAAAACGTAGTCATATGTAAAGGCCTTGTCTGGTCCAAGAAAGACCTGGGGTTCTCCTAGAGGTACTTGTGTGCAAACTCTACACATATCAATTACTTCACGTGCTACTTGAGGCCTTATTCTGTAATCAATAATAATTAACTATAAATGTATACCCTTAGCTTATAAAGGGTATTTAAAAATTTAGCTGTTCAATAAAAGATGGGAACAAAAACAGCATTCAATTTCATGTTTATTCTTGATATACAAATTATGTTTGATCAACATATTCGTATTCATATGCAATCGTATTGTATCATCGTTAGATCTAATGTGTCATAATCGGCGTCATGTGCATCAGCTGTTATCTTATATATATAGAAACCCCGCGCAAACGGTATAGAGGCAATAAAGTCGAAGTATATAGCGAAATAACGATCCAAGAATGTGCAAGTAAAAGGAAATAAATACACAAAAATAGGAATGACAAATAAAAACTAGTTGAAACTTAATAAGTTACGCAGGAACGAACGGAATGTGGTGGGAGAAGCAAAATTCATTCATCGGAAACCGAGATGCATGTTCGTTATACAACCGGTAATAAAACCTACGCACCTTATTCTTTACAAGGAGATATTATGTGATTAAAGTTTGCAATGCGGTACTGCGTAGAAAAAAGTACTGGTAACGTTCTATTAGCAAAATAGATCGATCAAGAAATTGCGGACAGATGAAGAAAATGAAAATACCAGCAAAATGTATATAGTCGATACGAAGTAAAACAATGGGAACAATATTATATTCCTATTTTTAAAAGAAAGACATACTTTTATGTTTGCTAACGAGAGCTTCGCAGAAATAATTAAAACAAAAAAAGATATTAAAAAATTAAAAAGATTAAGTACTATTTAAATGGGGAGATAGATAGATAATTCAACAAAACGTTTAAATTTAATATGTTAAAATTATAGTTTACCTCGTCGCTTTAAATATTCATGTAATAAATAATTCGTACAAGTATTTCATTTGAAATATTAGAAGAAATCCGTGACCAAACGTGAAACGGTCCATACAACGGAATTTTCTAAAATCGTGAAAGTGTGACAAGCATTTATGCATTTCGCAATTTCTATTTATCTAATTCTTAAACAAAGGAGTTCTGATTTATAATAAAAGGAAAGAATCGGATAAGAGACTCAAGAAAAACACTTAAGTATGTTATAATGCGTGTAACATCACGGGAACATTGGAAAAGTGTAGCGGTCATTAAAAAACGGAACTTTCGCACTTTGAATTCGAATGATGTTTCGCGCGAATCGTAAAGTTATTATTAACTAAATATCGTCGGTGTTATAAACTGTCAGTGCGTAAGTTGTCTTGTTAGTTTGCGACAACGTAGCCTGTTCGACGGTAGAGCGTCATTCAAAAAAAATAGTTTGACCAGACTTTTTTAAATGTATCGCTGTACTTACCGTACGGCAACGCGTACACTCGTATCATCAGCCATCTCGATGTCGAATATTGTGCAACTCCTTAGGATGTGAAAGCAGTAGAACTTCACCGGGAAAATCAACGGGAAACTGGTGCGATTAGGCCGAAACTATTAGGTGATGGCTATAATTTTTCGATACGCGGATATACTAAATGCGCACGCGTTACTAGATGCGGTGGCCGTGAAAATTCCGCATTTTTCGTCGTGAACGCGCACACGGACAATCGTGATATCCACTTAAACATTTCTCATAACGAAAGAAAATTTCTGTACTAGTCGCGTCGGCCCAAGGACTACACGGATCTTGGACTGAAATCATACGTGACAGACATCTTTGATTCTTTATGGTATAAAGTGGCTATGTAGCATCATCTACTGACAGTTCCTAGAACTGTTTCAATCGATCCAGTCGATTGAAAATTATCGACTGTCTTTTTGTTCCCTACCTATCTTTTCGATTGTGGGTAAGCTTATTTGAATTCAATCGACAACTTTTTGTTTTTTAAATTTTATTGCTTTTACTTCTGCAAGCTGACAAGCAAATATGTATTCTTTATATGCTATTTTTTTAAAATCATTTTAAGTTATTTCAACAGAAGTATGTCTGAGAAATTGTTATTGTATCTTTATTACATTCGTAAAAATAAATGTAACAAATTGAAAGAAATCAGTTCTAGTTGTTGCCTTAATTTTCTTTCTTGTTGCATGTTATCAAACCATCTTGACACATGTACATATTGAGCCTTTTCTTGGTGAGTTAATTCTCTCTGTAACAAAAAAAAAATAGGCCAAAGAGATTAGATTGATCCCTGCAGTCTACTAAGGATTCCTATGTTCCACTTATTATATTATTCGTTGTTATTACCACTATTGAATGTAGAGCATAATATAAAGTAACATCCGCGATGGTCTTCTTTGTACCAGTTAGGTATGTACTATCCTTTAGTGCAACATTTAATTCCTACAAAAATACATTATATTTATTTAACATATACATTATTGAAATATGTCACACATAATTTTTATTAAACTAGTACAACCTATTTCTTTTTAATACAATTAAATAAATAAATGGATTAGTCTTACCTGCAAGACTCTTTTCGCATTGGTAGGCGTATCAGCATAATTGACGCAAACAACTGCGTATTCTAGCCATTGACGTGACAATGCTTTCATTTCATTATCAGTACCAAATATATCAGGGTATTTCGAATTCTCGGTCAACGATTGAATTATAGTACTAAACCCTTCAATTTTTTTATTCGATCCTTGTTCAGTGCTAACGACTATCTAAAATATGGTACAAAAAGAAACACGTATTGAATTCGTTCTGAAATATAATTTATTTTCACAGAAAATTTGTTAACTACATTTTCTTGCATCTCCAGTTGCAAAGGTGTAACATCTAAATAATTAGAAATCTTTTCAAGACATTCTACGTTACACAAAACCATTGTTTCGTCTTTAGTACTTGCTTAACCCTCTCGTTTTTGTACCGGTTCTGGCAATAACTTTTAGGTTATGTTCAAAAAGACCGCGATACTCGACACCGTAAAGCCATAATTTACATAAGCATTTAACACACATTTGGTGTTTTATGGAATGTATTATAAATGACAATACACACAATATATTTTTAACATTAGTTAAGTGTTTATTTCAAATATACAATTTTGTTATAACAACACCTGTATCAAATTTGCAAGCTAATAATAGGATGGTGTATTATATATTTTTGTTACTCGGTATGTTTAAAATTACAAAATTAATTGACTTAGCTTAATTACTTAGACCTAAGTCTTTCATCTCAAAAAGTGGTTCATACTAAACCAGAATCATAAAAATACATTTTGATAAATTACATTAAAATACGTGGTAAAATAACAGGAATTTAGACATTTTTTTTTTTTCTATCACGTTGCAATAGGAATGAATAATCAGCTAATAAAGATTAAAATAATTCAGCTGATTAACTTTCTTTCCAATTATGTTCCCACAGTTTGGCATTTAATTTCTAAATGTGTTTAAAAACAATAATATTTTTCTTTTGCTGCATTGTGAATTTTTAGGAACACTATTCAAATTTTTTAAGGACTCTTCCTTGAATTTTAATAAAAATTTTAATATGATACTATGGGAATATCAAATAGTAAATATCTTGTAATATAAATCAGGTACAGTGAATGCAGCAAGAAAAAAATATTACAGTAACATATGGTTATAACTTGTTAAATCATCTAGTCATAACTATATCAATTAAACTGATTAATCTACTCAAAGGATGACATATCTATATACATGTGATAATAAATTGAATTATTACAGAAATATGTGATGAAATTTTTGTTAAACGAATTAATATATTTAAATGTTCTTTAAAATTAATCTTCAATCATTTTTCCTGTAAACAATCAATCTTTGTAAATACATGTATATGTATAAAATACATATTTGTTTCATTTTGCAAGTACATTGTAAAAGAATCAATTTTTAAATTAATTTCGTTAATGGCATATAAAAGAATCATGAAATAAAATTCACTTGTCTATTATTAAGAAAATCTTCCTATTCATCTGATGAAATGATTTTGCACAATATGTTTGTCTGTAACTAAATATGTGATTTCACATAATTCAAGACAATTTGTTAAAATTGACCAGTTATATGCAATTAAATGCAGGTACTCTTCTTGTATGGTGCTTATTTAGTATTTACCTAATTAAAAGAGTCTTTTTTCATATGAGAAAAGACTATGGACATTTCCTTCTTGTTGAGCAGAATATGTTCTTCTTTCAAATTTTAATTCTCCATTATACATCAGACCTCTTAAACTGGAGATAGATTTTGCTCCAATGTCTTGACATCCATGTTTAATGCCACATAATAAGTAAGGCAAGAATTTTAAAACAGTTCCTTTGTCAACTATTGAGCCACTAACACCCTGAGCTACTTTCAACTTGTCCATTTCATTATGAAAGTACCTGTCCATTGCAGAACCACGTGCATCTTTTCTGTCCATGGCTTCTAAAGAGCCCATGCCCCTATATTTTTTCAGACGTACACCATCACTAAAGAAATATTCACCTGGTGCTTCTGAGGTACCAGCCAATAGAGATCCCATCATAACTGTACTAGCACCCAAACTTAGGCCTTTAATAATGTGTCCAATGGACTGAATACCACCATCAGCTATAACAGGTACACCAAATCTTCTTGAATACTCAGCAACTTTATATACAGCAGTTGCTTGAGGTCTGCCCACAGCCATAACTTCTTGGGTGATGCATATAGAGCCACAACCCATGCCAACCCTTAAAGCATCAGCTCCAGCCTCTATAAGATTTCTAGCTTGCATAGTTGTCACAACATTTCCAGCAATTACTTGCAGTCCTGGGTATTCTACTTTAATATATTTGATCATTTCAATCTGATACTTTGAATTGCCTTGAGAAGAATCCAAAACAATGACATCAACACCTGCTGCAGCAAGAAGTTGCAGTCTGTTTTTATCTGTATTACGTGTACCAATGGCAGCACCAACTAATAGTTGTTTATTTTCATCTTTACTAGCATTTGGATAACTTCTATTTTTTTTTAAGTCTGTTCTTGCCATTAGAGATACCAATTCTCCCTTCTCATTGACAATTGGAAGCTTTCCTTTTTTAGATTTCTCAAGAATAACATTTGCCTCTTGTAATGTTACACCAGCAGTTGCAGTGATTAAATTTTCTAATTTAGTCATTATTATTTCTAACTTTGTAGATTGTTGATTTGGTGAACTTTCTAAGAAGTCAATATCTCTGGATGTAACAATACCTAACAATTTACCCCCAAGTTTTCCTGTATTTGTGATAGGTACACCAGAAAAGCCATGTTCAGCTTTTACATTCAGAACATCACTGACTTTGTGAGTAGGTGATAGAACAACTGGATCCCTAATGAATCCATGTTTATATTTTTTGACCTAGAATCACAAAAAGTTTTTTCTTTTTATATAAAACTCAATCATTATTAATCTTAAACATTAATGCAAGATATTAATATTTAACAATTTTATTTATATTTTTTTTGACCACAATATGCATATAGAAATATGGACACAAATGAGATTAATGTAACTAATCTAATAAAGCAAGAAATGTTCTATTAAGGTTCTACTCAATTATTTTATTTTATCCACAAGTAAATATTTATTATCCATCTATATAATGTTATTGTGTGACAGCGATGTTCTTGTATAAAAAAGAAAATCGCGCGCGCGCAAGGTGAGATGAAACCTGTATCTATTCTATATGAATAGCAAATGAGGGAGTGCTTTGCGAAGTTGTCGCAAGCACAATAAGAACTGCGCGGTTGTTACAGCACAAACAGAAACATTTAAAATTAAAAGAAATATACCTTATGCACTTCGTTGGCTTGATATTCAGGCGTACAATTATGATGTATTATGCCGATTCCTCCACATAGAGCCATGGCAATAGCCATGTCGGATTCTGTAACTGTGTCCATAGGAGATGATACTAGCGGTGCTTTCAACATGATATTCTTTGTCAACGGCGACAGTAGATCAACCTCGTCGGCGGTAAAATCAATGTAACCCGGTAAAATAATGAAATCATTGTAGGTGAGACCGTCGCCGGCTGCAAATAATTGTGCTGCTGAGAGTCCATCATCTGGTTTTGTGTCACCGATCACATAGTCTGCCATCATTTTTCTTTTAATCGATGATTATTCGTAACCTTTCCTTCCGTAATAGATTTTTTAAATTGTAAAATTAATTATATTGCAACTACTGTGTGATGAAGTATTGTACACGTTGCCTCGGTATCGATGTTAAAAACCGCGGGTCTCCCGTAGATGCTGGATTGGAGATCTCCAGGCAAAATGACCGAAATCAACGTGTGCACAGTGCATTTGTACTCCACGGCTAAATTGTATTTCTAATTTTCGTCTACTGATGACACTACTATCGTACACGATGTTTCACGAAGATACCCGAAAATGACCGGTGGTTCGTTGTTCGTTTCGATTTGAACATTCGCGCTTTTTTTCGGAATAAATTTATCGAACAATATTGGAATAGAATCAAAAAGTTGTCAAGGTAAGTAATCTTTTAATTGTAAATATACGTGTACAAATATGTAAGCGCTCACACACAGAATCAATAACAAAAATACACGTTTAATACAAAAATAAATATCAATTAATAGACAAAGAAGAAACCACAGTAAAACATTTTTTTTAAACTTGCACATGGTGCGGTGGTCATCGTTAATTTTTATGCGATTTTGGTGCATTTTTTACATGCATGCTAAAAATTGTATAAAAAGTATGTAAAATTTAAACGTTAGCGTGATTCACTAAAATTGTGCGAATATTCTACTTTCGTTCATAATCTTACTGGATAGAAAAAAAGTTTTTTTACAGCACTGAAAATATCGCCAAACGCTTCTTGAAATGAAGATAGAATGTAATCCATTATCAGTTCCAAATAAGTTAAATTTTCATAGTCATCTTCGTAGTAAAAATAGTCGTACAACATTGGCAAAAGTATTATTAAGATATACATCATACCACCAAAAAAAACTACAAATTTTAAAAAGTTTTTTATAAGGATCATCAAACTTAAAACATTAACTAAAATGAATACTTACTGATAGATTTGAGTTCCAAAAATTGTTTATCATTCATTCTATCACCATTACAGTTTACTTTATTGAACACAGGTTCATTATTCATCAAGTTTGGAATAATTTTTTTTGTATTAGCATTTTGCACTCCAGCTATAGGATTTAAACATGATTTTATGTTGTCATTCATATATAATTGTTCTGTTTTCATAATATCTGACTGAAGATTTGAGTCTCTATGCAGTTAAAAAAGATACAATTATTATTCCTTCTAATGTATGAAGAAACCTATTTTTTATGTAACTTACAATGCTTTATTGATCATTGTAGAAAGAGCTGTGCACTGTTGTAATGTTTGGAGTTCAGGATTCACTTTTAATTGATTTCTTAACTCTTTATCATGTACTTCAGTGGTTTTTCCCGTTTTCCCTTTTTCAAACGTATCCATTGTCAAACGGTAGGGATACTGTTGCTCAATACTGTTTGCATTCTTTATTTTGTGCCTTAATTTGTTGTAGTACAACCAGTAACTTTTATTTAATAATTCTTGAGTTTTTGGAGAAATGCCTTTTGGTCTTTCATTCATATCATCTGTGTTTGACCTTGGTGATGTTTCACACTTGCAATGTTCCCTTTGCAAGCAACCTTTTGACAAACATTTTGGTATTTCTTGACTCAAATCAGCTTGCTCATTATTTTGCAAATAATTTTGTTCACTACAATTCGAAGTGTTTTCTATTCGTGCGTTTATATTCCGTTCATGCCCCGGTACAGGATTAAAATGACCACCTTTTTTTGCCTTATAATTATTGCATTTATGAATGCTTGTTTGATTACGTTTGTATTTGTTATATTGACAATTAGGCCATACTGAAGTGTAGTCAGAATCCACTAATGCTGAATGAGAATTCTTCTGGAAATAAGATTTGGCTTTTCTGGAAAATTTAGCTGATACCTTTTTTTGCTTGAACGTGACATATGGCTCGGAATTGCGACAAAGTTTTCTAGTACATTCATTTTTTGCAAAAACCAGATTTTGTTCAGATTTATTTTTTGCTTTTGTGTCACAGGTAACTGTTTTGTAATTTTGATGTAAAGATTGATCTTGATCAGCAGTGATTTCATTAGACTGAGATACTGATTTGTTAAATTCATTTTCTTTTGATAGAAGATTTATTTGATCATGATTTTGAGCTAAACTTTTAATGTTATCATGCATAATATCTGCAATAATCTTGTTTGCTTTTGGTGTGAATTTATTTGCATTGGTAAATTCTTTTTTTTGAATATTTTTTTGTGCAGTAAATTCAGAGTCTGTTGTTTCTTCACCACTTGTATCACTTGCAATTTTCTTTACCTTTAAACGTTGGAAAGTATTACCATGTACATTCTTTTTATTTATATTAGGAATGTAATACTCAGAATCACTAGAATCCACCAGTTTTTCAGGTACAAATGAATTTTCTGGGTGACCCAACTTTATACAGCTTTTTCTACTTCCTTCAGGTACATTACTTTGTACCTTTGATGTATTTGCCTGTTCACAAACATTTTTTACTTCAGTATCTAAAAAAAAAAAGAAGGTGCAACGTTAACAAATGGAAAATAAAATGTTGTAAATAATGATTATAAAATAATTACTGTTAATGGGAGGTATAGATTGGTTTGTATTTTGTGCCTGATTTAAATGAACATGCTGTTCAGATTCCTTCTTCATTAAAGGCGAAGTTTTGCTTTGGTCTTTATACTCTGAAGAAGTTACAGACTGCTGTATTACGTTTTCCGTTCCTGTGGAAGATACTTGCATTGGTATGTTTTGGTAAGTAAGGATTGGAAGTTGTACATTGTAGCATTGATTCACATATTCCCGCGGTACTGTAATCGCATTTAAAGGATGTGGTTGCATTGTTTTGTCTAGCACGAAAAACAACTGTCCATTATTTTCCTAAATACATTAAAGTAGTAAAAGAACTTATCCTGTTATCAAAATTCATAGTAGAAATTTAATTATGAAATATTAGAACATATACTTGCACTGGTGAAGGAGCAATGTTCACTTGAGTATTTGCATCATTAACTGGTGCCCTTGATGCATGTTCAGAATTCTCTATGCATTTATCTCTTTCTGCAATTCCATTTTTATTAGTATTTTCTGTAATATTAACCAGTTTTTTAAATTCTGAATTATTTGTAGAATGATTTTGTTCTGAAATTTGTCCTTGGTTGATATTAGGCTTGTTGTTTTCTTTATAATTTTGTGCTGATTTCTTTTTTTCTTCTTTATGAGGCTTTTCCACTCCTTGTATTCTTGTTTCTTTCCTATCATAACAGTAATTGTAGAAATCAGAAAAGTGATTGTGATATGTAATATACTTTCAATTACAGCTAACATACAGATTTATATTCCTTCCAAGTATTGGTTTTTCAGTTTCTCTTCTCTGCAGATGTTCTATAGAGGTAGCAATATCAGACTGATTCGGTTTTTTTTGTAATGATTCAGTTGATGTTACTTGACTCCTTTTAACATTTGTCACTCTGCTCAAAAATATACATGTGTCTTTTTACGTTGGTTTCACTTCTATATTGTATGTGGAAGAAGTAAGATACTTTTTGAAACGGGGATCGACGTAACCAGGAAGTCGTTTTAAAGTGTGCATACTTGAAGTAGCTTTTTGATGATGAAAAGAAGAATATGCACTATCTCTGGTTACTGTAGACTTGGGAGATCTGTATTTTCAAATATAAAAATGCAAGTTCTTATTAGTACAGTCTATGTAAAATAATACAACATTTAAATCTATTTACTGATTCAGTGGTGTATGAACCACAGTACGACTTCTTCTAGGAGTTCCTGTTAAAGTAACTATACATGGAGGTTCAATGGTATCACCGGCATCGTCAGCTAATTTACGCTGCGGTATTTTAGGCCAGGAAGGATCAGCTGGTACACTAACAATTAGAATAAATGGTACTTTCTTCAACAAAAGATAAACACTCAACTTAAATACTTACCGCAACGATCCTGAATTATATTTCTGTGGAACTGGTAATAAATTTTCACTGTTAACTAAAATTACATGCATCATCTAAATGCTACATTACCGTTTTATAAAAACATTTTATGCTATCCTTACTTTTAATGTGTAACTGAACAGCATTTGTATTATCTTGGTATGCCATATTGAAGCAATCATACATTGCAAAACTTTCTAGTTTTTTCAAAACATTTGTGTTTGTTGATCCTGGACTAATTATAAAAACTATTCATATTAGAAGAAATACAAAAACTGTACAGGTTTAACGTTAATTTCACGTTTCACAAAGTAGTAGTACTTCAAGTAGGATTATTCTTGTTTTTCCTGAAGTCAGATGTTTTGTACATGTACAATTACAAAAGAAGTTTCATATTGGAACAAACACGTTTATTCTTAATAAGAATCAATAGCTTTCTGTACAAAAAGATCGAAGGTGTTGACAATCAGTCATTTTGTTTTATTAATGACATATGTATTTATATAATATGTATATCATTCTAATCTTAATATTAAAATATTGTATGTACAATAAATATACAACTGTAGTAGCTGCAGGAACAGATAACTATGATCTACATCAGTATCTTATAGCTTGATTTATGTTACACTAAATTAAAGTATATTTGCGCACCATAATAATTATATCACAATATCAAGCTAGTTTCATACTTGTATAGGGATTTTTTAATATTTTGCTTAAAAAATATTACAATTTATGATATAAGAAATGTAACTTTTTATTATGTATGTGTATGCATACCATGTATGTGCAAAGTTTAAATTTGTGTAAATACTGTAAACGTATAACACATATTTAATCATTCCTTTAAAATATACTTTATTGTTGAAACATAATAAAAATAATTGTGCGCATCGTCTATTGAAACAAAAATTATTCACATTGTTTTATCTATAAATCAAATAATCAATATAGTAAACTGTACATACACATATGTGTCTGTGTCTTTATGAATAAATAAATTGATTGTAGATGTTATGTTGCATGTAAGAGATACATCGACAAAGGAATGTATCTGTATAGTTATTTTGACTAGATTTGAGAAAGATGATACAGTTATCATTCTTATCAAATATAAAAGTTGTATGCCATAAAATGCATTGATGAATGTTCAACTTTTCCCTGGCCACCACATTTGTTAGTATTATTGAATTTGAAATTGGTCCAAAATCTAAATATAATTCCATTTTTACGGTCTTACATTGTTAAAATTGCACAAATATCTCACTGATGTTGTCTTAAAATTTAGGGCACACTTCATTTTGAATAAGTACGTAATATTTAACAAATATTTTTACACAACAATACGCACTAAGTTGTTTTGAAAATATGTAACAAAACATAAATTAAACTCTTCTACAATTCTTACATTTTTTTCTAAGTAATCTGTAAATATGAAGTAAGTACTCTTTTGTTTCTCAGACTTTTATAAACACAGGTGTAAGTGATTTTCTTTTTTAGGAAGATCGAGAAACTGAAGAGTGTACACAGCATTTATATCTTCGTAGATTACTGTAAACTGCACATATTATTAAACGATAGTATGGTGTTACTAACAAAAATGTAATATTTTCAACAATTTTATCACAATCTACTTATTATGTTGCATAAAACATCACAATTCATTTTCAATTCATATACTACAATTTTTTTTATTAACAATTGCGATAAATACAAAAGCTAAATGCAATGTTTAATACCCTTAATTCTGTATGCATCATAAAAATTATAAAAATTTCTTCAAAAGAAGAAATCAAGCAAACTGGAAATTGATCAATATGACAATTCTTTTAAGATAGTATAAAAACAATTGTTCTGTTTGACTTTCTAAAATAAACAAGAAAAATAACGAACTTATAGATGTTGCTTCCAAATAATGTGCATATCGAACAATGTGCAATTATTGTCTGGCATTATTATAATACTCTACATAAAGATCAAACATAATTTGTATGGCAAATTAATACAGTAACACATACCTTGAAGAAAGAAAAGTTCTAACTACTATTTTAGAATGCTTAGCATTACTTGTGTAATGCTTCGTGAAAATGCGTTGCAATTAAATATGCATGGATCACTTAGTTTCAATTATATACAGAACCCTTTCATTAAAGGAGATATCCATATTAAGAAGACATATACACAGTACACTGATAATGTTTTATGCATATTGACGAAGCATTTGTTGATAGGTGTAGAAATATACATACACAAAACACATTTATTACATAATTTTTCTCGTTATTGTCGAGTTAAGCTTCGTGTTCACCGCTATTTATGCCTATGAGCGATTCTGTTTGCTCTGCTTCAAGGTCTGGTATTCTAAAATAAAAAATATTATTATGGTACCTTTACTTAAATTAAAATTTACGAGCTTTTATTTTTATAGTACCTTATTGATCTATTTTTCCTACAAATCCAAATGTAAATTCTTTTTATTAAATCCATGACTGGATCCCAGTTGTCATAATAGCATAGAAGGGATACAGTCAGAAATGCTAATAACATTGGAATGGTTCCTAGATAGAAAATACAAGGGTACTGGACCTTTTTTAATAAAACATCAGCTATCATTGACATTGGCATAATTAAGCTAACTGCCAAAGTTGCCATGAGGGATGATGTTAAAAAACAACCCCTATAAATAAATAAATGTGAGATGAAAATGATGTTAAATAAATATTAAGCTTAATATAGTTTTTAAACATACCACAACCAAAGCACTTCACTTAAAACTGTACCAATAAGACCATTAATAATTAAAAATGTCCACTGATGAGTGTTTGGCCACTCAAATTCTTCCCAATGGCCATAATGGAGGATGAAGAACAAGGGCCATAATAGTGTCAAGTTAAAAAGTCCAACAAATCCAAAGAACATTGGAATATCCATCTTATCTTCATGATCTACTTTTCGTTTTAGGAATACAATATAAGCGGCATAAAAAAATGCACTGACTAGGGCCAATATTATGCCTGTGGGTATCCTACTAGTTTCTATATTTAAATCTGAAAGACCCACTAGTACCTAAGGATTAAAAATATTGTTAAAATATTGTTTTTTTTTTTTTGTATTAAAGACTTTTCTGTAATTGTACATACTAGTCCAAGAATGCTGACAGAGACAGCAACTAGCTTAGATAATGTAAACTTATCTCCTCCATTACTGGGGAAAAAGGCAGCTAGGAATAATGTGAATAAACTAGAAGTTGATGACAATACTGTTACAACTCCTGCTTCTGTTTTTGCTAATGATATTTGATAAGTATAATTCGCCATGAACCACTGCAATATAAAAATTATATCAATTTAAAATACATACACTTGCAACCTGTTAAACAGATACCTACAAGTAAACAAAACATAAGGGCAATTTTAGCAACTTTTTGAACAGAAAATTTATTAGCTTGCCGTCTTGCATGTTCTCCAGCTCTCAAGCTTGCTTGATAACTAAGTCTTGCCAATAGTGCTTCTGTGGCATCACTTTCTGACATATGACGAACTTCTGCTAATTTACTAAATCTTACTGAGCGTATTGATGAATCATCACTTTCTGTGCCTGAAGAACGATCACAGTGATCTGGTGTTTTTATTGGAACAAATGTTGGATCACTCTGCAATCATGGAAATTTGTGTTATTATTATTATTAATAGCAAACTAGAAGTAAGAAAATGTCATTAGGATAATAACACAATAATTTCTATTTACCAAACTTGTATTAGCTTCTGAATAGAAATTATCATCTTCCACATTAGGATCTATAAACTGAAATAAGAAAATGGGTCAGTGAGTAAGTACCATATTGATTTTATTGAAAAAATTATGTGTGTCTAAATATACCATATATGTTGCTGGTTTATTACATTGATCCCTCCATGGAGGCCAAAAACATAAACCAAGCAAATAAAATGTAAACATAGATGTTTTTACATATGTACTAAAAAATGGCTTTTCAAATGCTGCTTCTCTGTAAATGTACTGAAACATAAAAACCATATTATTAGGTATGTCTGAAAATTTTATAGATAATTAAAAAATGAATGTTTTAGGTAACTCTTACTTTAGTAAGTTCAGAACTTGAGACCCAAATGATATCAACTAGTAGTAAAACCAAAAGTCCTAATACAAGTCTTTGAGATTTATTCATCATTGCTGCAAGTTTATGAGGATCCTCCGCCATCCCCTGTTGTCGACGTTGTCTCAATTCTACAGAGCAGCTCATGATATAACTAGTAACCTTTTCCCTTTTAATTATGACATCATGATAAAACAGATCACTGCAAAATGGTAATACAATTAATGAAAATTATAAATTACAAGTAATATATCTATTTAAAAGATTGAAATTTTTTATGTAAAATAGAAAATTAATATTGCACAATTACTAGGAAATGTTTATATTATTTTGCTGCATGTTAATTTAAAGAAAACTATCAGTATAATAATTCATAAGGAGTTATCAATATAACACTTTTAGTTAATTAATTTTTCTAAAATGAAATACAAGCAAATAATACTTAGTATACACGTTTTACATAATGAAATTAATACATAGGGTATAATTTGCATAATAATTATTATGTAAATCAATCAAGTGTGTGCTAGGATGTATGATGGAAAGAATGAAGACAGGAAACAAAGGATTAAAATGAGGGACAAAAAAACAATGTTCAAGGTTTCACTAATTTAATTGTCTTATTTTTAGCTACAAGTTCATCTCTGATGATGTTCAATATAATGTACTATAAAAGTAATAGAAAGCGTATATTTAAAAATGTATTTGCTGAATCTGTGACTGATAACAGGTGGACAAGCGGCAAATGTATAAAACAGTGGTCGTACATAAGATAACCTATAAAAGTTGCAACGAGGATAAATAACGATGTTTTACTATGCTAATACAGAATTTCAAAGTAGAATCGACTCACATTAGAGGTAACCCTTAATTTTTCGGCACTGGCGATTAATTTATGCTCTGGCGATTCCCCTACATTTTGGAATTATGGAATCAGGAGCACTTTATGCTCTCTAATTAAACACTTATGTGGTACTTTTTACACGTCAAATACGTAATTTGTATTTTCAACTTTTATGTATTTTTTTTTCTTGACTCGCAATTTTTACAATTTCAATAAAAGATCACTTTAACTTTTTCGTCTCTTTATCGCGTCGGAACAACTACCCGTAACCATGTTGATGCGCTGATGACGTCCCGTAGTTTTGTTATCACCTCGATGGCGCTACATGTCTTACGCAGGGTACTTTTCTATCTTTCATTCGTTTTATTTTAATTTTTACATTTTTTTGTATCATTTAAAAATGTTCTTTTGTCAATGCAATGATAAACTTCCTTTTAACAATTACTTTATTTATTATATCTTTATAATAAAGAAACATTTTATTAGTTACTACTATCTACATATATTTTTGCTTATAGGCGATAGGAAAATATGATTAAGATACTACAGTTCACTGTGTATTCGAGGCTTAATCTTTTAATTTCAATTATCAATATTACTTCATGTGCGTAGGAGGAAAAAAGATATTCTAATATTCAACGTATACTTTCCTTATGTCATGTTAAGAATTATAATAAACATTATATTTAAAAAAAAAAAGATCTACATTTGCTTTTTCCACATAATGTATTACATACGTACAGTTATAATATATGTATATAAAATTTTGTATACATTCAATGTTACTCTAATTGAATCGATTTAGTGTGAAGAGGCCTTAAAACAAGGGTTGTCATGACAAACAATAGCAACAACATTGGGGTAGGTGGAGCCTGCATAACGAGTAGACGTAAAAGAATAGTTTACAACGTCCTCGTGTAATATTACCACTGTGTTCTAACAATGGCTAACAATATTCTCAGTAATGGCCGCATTCAACAACAAATGACTGTTTCACAACGGCTCAGAAATGACAAGGGAAAGAAAGGTTTTTTTTTTTTTAGTTTTTATTACTACAAAAGCACACGTTTTGTGCTAAGTTTTCATTCTACGTCACTGACATCATGTACACGTGTAAAATGCTCGCTAAAAGTTAAATTAAAATTGTCGTTGATAAAGATACACTTATAGAACGTTAATAAAGCTTTTCTGATACTAAATTCTACAATAATGGAATAATTGGAAATAGATTTTCTATTAGAATCTTACGATGTGAAAGCATCAATTGTTTAAGAATGCATTACGAAGTTCTTTCTACGTTAAAATGTGTACGCGTTTTTTTTTAATTGGTAATACAGGGTGTTCCATAAGTCACTTCATCGTTTACAAATTGAATAACTATTTTTCTATTATACGTTTTAAAATTTTTATTTCAGATTTAAAAAAAAGAAGTTTATTCAATTTTTAAATGGTAAAGCAACTTATGAGACACCTTGTATAACATCGTATATTCTTTATTTCCGAATCAGCACCGGATATACCAGCAATAGAGAGCAACAATTGGCTGTTGCATCGGCATTACACGCGGCACGAGTATAAAACTTGCATGATCTTAATCGATCAGGAATTAATGAGATCTAACGAACACAACGAGTACGCGAATTACTTGAAAGTAAGGAAAACTTTCAATTCTGCCAATTATTTATTTATTGAAATATCAATATTCGAAAAATGCTCAATGTTCTCGATGTTACAGGGTTTAATACTGAGGAGAGAAGGAAAAATTCAAGACTCGTTGAATTGCTTTCAAGCCGCCTATAACGTCAACTCGACGAACGTTAATAACGTGAAGCAGATAGCGAAGTCGTTGTAAGTAAAGGAAATTCGATTTCAGCTGCGCCGTTCGAGAACGAGATCGGATTCAGATACCGATGGAACGCTACTCAATCTAATTAGGTTGTAACATAAGAAACGTCTGTTGTTCCAGTTGAAATAAAACGATCCAGAACAACGATTTCTCTGATATTCTTATTAACCTGCGAGAAATTTTGTTTCTCAAAAGTTCTCGCAAGTTTGTTGAACATAGTACATCACATTTCATATCCGATATTTCGTAGAAGAAAATTTCAAGAATGTCGTTTATAATTCTTATCAATTATCTCTATTAATTCTCGACGAAGTTAACAATTTAATAGCTTGATAATGGGGAGCCACAGGCGTGCAGTCGACGCGTATTTGGAAGCTGAAAAGATATCGAATATACTAGACTGGGAAATTTATCTCAACCTAGGCAAGTTGCTAACTTTTCAAATGGACGTACACAAACGCTTGTTCATTGAATAGTCAAGATAAGATAGATCGTAAAAATATTCCAAATATCGTTACCCATGAGTCATACAGTTTGTGAGATGAGAATCAGTTAATAAATCGAATGGTTTTTTTCCCCCTAGGCGAATGTTACATGAAACTAAACCAACTGCAGGAGGCGAAAAGGCATCTGAAAAGGTCGATCGAGTTAACGAAAAACGTATTACCATATGTCGCTCTCGCGAAAGTTTGCCTCCTTGAGGATCATGTTACAGAGGCACGGAACGCTTACATGGCTGCTCTCAGGTATAAAGACAGCTCATGTCATCGTCGTTTCTCTTTTTAATGTATTTCAACGATGTACAGCCGTCTGACCTCGCGAACATCCTGCGCGTGCAGATTTAATTCCAGCGCCTAGAGATGGTCGGCTCGAATGTTCTTGTTTACGATACACTACAAGAGTATTATGTTCTACCTCTCATTGCAAACTAGGTATAAATCTTGTATTAAAAAAGATGCAGAGTAAACAGGAACAATGCCGACCAGATAATTTGTCACGGCGCGTTCATTACCATTCTATACTTCTTTGACTTCTTGAATAACGCTGACTCGTTTGACGTGAATGATTGATCTAGCGTATATCAGGTCATCTCTCGATGAATCGAAGTACGTATCATTCTTTTATCGGATATACATTAATTCTTATGCAAGGCTTTTTTGTACTGTCCAAGGTTGTAAAACATCGATTTCTGCTTTATACAACGTTCTGCCTTTTAACAATCTCTTTGCCAGTTAAAAAAAAATAGATGAAACTATGAAACTGCGAATAAAAAGATATTTAAAAAATATACCAGCGACCTAATTTCAATCGAACTACATACATATGTATATCTCGAATAATCGAGATGCGGAAAGTGACGTGCTTGAGAGAAATCTCATTTACGAATAATCGTAAAAATTCTTGAAACGGTGTTTTTTCTTCGAGTGCAACGGCAAGTTCATCTCATTTCTCTGTCTTTTCAGTGAGAATCCTGAAAGCATCGAAGCCGCAACTGAATTAGGACTTCTCTACCTTAAAATTGGCGACGTTCAACGAGCATTTCAGCAATTCGGCACTGCACTCGGCCATTCTCCAAACTGCACCAAAGCAATTCTACCGATAGCTTATGTAATCCAGGTAAGTGTATACCTTGTGCGCTTTCAAAGTATTCCTGGCACGATGTTAATCCGTGAATTCAAAGGGAAGAGAAATTGTTTCCGCATAACAGACCTACCTGAGGCTTTCCTTTCTCTTTTCTTTCTCTTCTTGAACGTAATCGTTGATATCAAATATTCAATTCACATTAAATGACGTTTTATCGAAAAACTATGAGAAACTTAATAAAAACATTTCTACTTTAAAAGAAAATAAAAGAAAATTAAAAAAAAACAACATTCTTCTATTCTTTATATACTTTATGTGCTGTTCTAAATTTTTTTCGTGTTGATTTAAAATTCGTACAATCTTTGTTAATTTCTCGTTGTGGAATCTCAGTATATATCACATCTTAATTAAATAACGAAATTCGTATCACAAGGGGGAGTAGCTCGTTTACTACTTGTTCGCATTTTCGGATAGTACTATCGTTAGGACAGAACAATGCTTGATAGAGTTTTGTTAAGGATGAAGTAGTCCTTCGAGTGTAAAGCACGTGCAGCATTTCAGTAATGTTCTTGAAGAATTTAATTAGAGACACGCGCAGCTTTGGAATTCACTTCGCTCGACAGGCTAAAACGTTCACCGTACTTTTCAGAATCACCAGGAATACGACGTGGCACTGTCGAAGTACAAGGTAGCCGCGAAATCGATCCCGGAATCGTGCGCCTTATGGAACAATGCGGGGATGTGCTTCTATGGCAAACAGAAATTCGTTGCTGTGAGTATCTTCGATTGAATGCAATTATTCGGAATGTAATACTAATCGAAGTGTGAACCAACAGTGGGTCATCGAGTTATACTCTCATTTGCCGACGTGATTCATCGATGGATCATTTTTATCTTTTATAAAAGATTCAATAGACGACGTGATCCACCGGTGGATCTTTACATTATTTTCTAACGCTCCATGAAAAATACGCAAATATTAAATAGGTGAAAAGATTAAATATTGAAAAATTAAGTATCAATGTTAATACAAATTTTCGTAAATTTCGCTGTCGTCTTGAAAGTGTTGAAGCTACACAGGAATAGTCGTGGAAAGAAGAAGGATGAAATCACGGCACGTGACATTTCATCTGTGCTCGAAAGAACACGATGTATCGTGGTTCGTGAAAGAATAAAGGCCGTTGCAAGATTTTTCCAAGCTGGGACGTGGCGTGTCGCAAGCCAAGCACGGACTTTATCCACGACAAGGCGAAATTCGTGCACACTGCCGGATTTAATGACGATAATTAATTTAAGGCTCATTAAAGGGGATGGTGCACGCGCCAGCAGGGTTCTCAGAATGACGGTCGGGACACACTTGCGTCCCAGGGGAACTCAATTAAGGGACAACGCAGGAGCGTGTACTGCACACTACTGGCTGTTGCCGAAGCGATGGAAAATCGGTGAATGCGAATTATGCGCCGGGTTGTCTCTTAATGAGAAACTCAGCCCTTCGTTCAAGATCCACCGAGATGACGAATTTATCCTATCTGTAGATCGAAAGTACTCAAGAGTATCGTTGAAGTTTATCAATCGACAGGAAGGCACGTTTTTCACTCGTTTTAACAGAAGAGTTTGCATAGGATCTGAGGGAAAAGAGAGATACTTTGTGCAAAGGATATACAGGCCAAACCACTTTCCCCTTTAAAGCAGCCGAACGAAAACTCAAGGGGCAATATTTAACCACGATCAACCTTCTTTTTCTCGAGGAGTTATTTCAACAAGGGAGAAAATGGTCCCTTCTCTGTCAACGAAACGACACCATAAATAGAATTAAAGAACGAACCGATATTTAAATATTCTCACAACGTAGACTCTGTTGAAAGAATTCCAGAGCCTACCTCGTTGCTCGAAATACAACGACGGAGGTAACAGTAACGTGCACGGAACGAAAGTTTCTTTAATCCACATCACACCATTATTCCACTGGACGTGGTTACTTGTTAGTAGTAACAGAGGTTCCTGAAGTTAAGTGGATTAAGTTTAATGCTCAGCTTTAGTTACCTTGTCGCCGATAAGACACGGCAGGGACGAGAGAAACGGCCCCCTTCTAAAGGGGATAAGAAAAAAGGATCATGCCTGGTCACGCGTTACCCACGATACCGTGTCTATCTTATCGAGGTTCATTTTTATAAATCTCCTCTCACCGTAGAGTGGAAATCTGTTGGCTATTTCGAGGACAGTTTCGCGTGATTTAATCAGCACTCGGCGCGATCAATTTGCATTATCACGGTGTTAGACACACGTCAACCGCTTTATGGTATAATTATCAGCGTATCTTCTCCCGTGCAATGACTGTGATTCACACAGGCGTCACTTTGTTCATTGATCGCGTCGACGTAATTGCCGGACAAATCGGTTTAACCGCTTTAATTACTTCCAGGCGATTAGCTGCTTGAAGAGAGCCCACTACCTTAGTCCCATGGCCTTTCTGCCAGCTTATAATTTGGGCATGGTTTTTCTCACCACCGGCCAACCAGCTTCAGCAGCCATTTATTTGTGCTCAGCGGTCAGCGTCGAACCGAAGAACCATATGCCTTACCTTTTGCTTGGACGTAAGTTTTCCGATGTGTAGGTATTTCTTTTCTTATTGAAGGCATTATTGTAGCCCTCGATTGGAATGGAATGGACGGTTTCGTTTAATTTCGATGGATGTAATATAACTCCATCCGTTACAGCCAATCGAATGGAAACCCTTTTCAAAAAGAAAGATAGATTACCTGTTTCCCTCTTCGTTCAGTCAAGGGTTAAACATTTCATCGTGTGGACAGATCGATAGAAATTCGCAGGACGCGCACGTACACACAAGAGAGAGAGTAAGAATACAACGAAGAGAGTCCCTTGCTGATTTCGAATTTATCTCGTCATAAATAATAGCATTCTACTATGTGACGTTAAGGGCCTTCTTCTCGTGGCACTCTTAACATTTTCCGTGCACTTCCACCGTGGAACCAAGTGTGTCTAACAGATAAAATATGTCCGTATTGAATTTACAAAAGCGTCCAGGACAGCTTTTAGAGATAAAGAACGAGCGATCGTGTGTCATTGTCGTATAAGAAAGTCCAATCTTATCTATTTCAACTTACTCTCTCCGTTGCGTTTCTACGCTGATGAATGATCGTAATGGAACGTCGAATTTTCTGTTCTAGTTGCACTGAAGCGTCTGGACGATTTGGAGGGTGCGGAGAAAGTGCTCCAGAAGGCTCACGCTCTTGCTCCTCAGGATCCTCTAACATTAATCAATTACGCGATAGTGTTGGAGGCTGAGGGCAAAAGAAGCGATGCAGCTGAATTTTTAACAGCTCTAAACGATATTACAGCTGTGATTGACGTGGACGAACAGGCAAGTATCCTTGAAGAAGACGATAATAAAGACCATCTGCCTTACTGTTGCTTGTACAGTGCCTCGTTTCGTTGCAGATAACGCAGACAGCGAAGAAACTGTCGACGAAACTTCAGCAAGAAAGGACGGCCGTCAGTACTCAAGAAGAGGAGGAGACTACTAGAGTTCTTAGTTCAGACGAAGTTTGAAGAAGCGGGGAGATTACTTGTTGGAGTCAAAAATCGGAAAGTTTCTTTGTCGACTACCTGCCACGTTCAACATTTTAATATACATACCTACTATATTAATGTTTCTCCGTGAATTTTCTATGGAGAATAATTCAGAGATTTTCACTTTCTACACTAACGTAGACTTGTTCAAGTTTCTTCCTATTCTTCTTTCTTATTTATTATAGACACCTTGTCCCTTATCCTTGCTCGTTCAACATCCGCCACGTGTCAAGGAGAGCCAGTTTTCTCATTTAAGTTTCGTTGGATGACCGCGACACATTAGCTTGTACATTCCCATTGGGTGTTGTTTGAAAAGTGTCAAGGATTAGCAGAGGGTTACAGTAGAAGGCTAGACGAAACGGGAGTGTATCGAAGAGATGATATTCACTTCGTTTCGTTCACGGATTATTGGAAGTCTCTCTATTAAATTCTACTTGGCTTCTTTGTTCGTGATACCTTTCAGTTGAAGTGTAATCCAGAAACAAGTGTATCAGAGAAGCAATTAAATCGTGTTTCCTTGGCAAATTGCCTTCAGGCGGGACCGCAGTCGTTTCAGTTTTCTCTGAACGATATATCAACGAGTTTGCATAGTTCAGCGGGCCACAAGCTTGTACGTCTTGATTAAAAGTTTGGTACAACTTCTTTCTCGAGTTAGTTACTACTACCTACACGCTACTCGCCTAATTCATAGTGTAACGGTTAAAGTTGCGCGTTTCGAATGTGACGCGCGCTTATCTACGTTCATCTTGAAAAACGGAGACACTTGAAAAAGGTGGAATTTTTTGCGTTTCGAATGTCACAGAAGAGAACAAATAGTGAAACCCTTGGAATATTTCGCTCGTTCGAATATTACCTTTCCAAGAGGAAAAGGGAGGGAAGAATGGAAAGTAGCCCTTTGGATCTTTGATCGCGCTGTTACGGGGAATTTTATGAGCGTTCGAGCATATTTATAACAAATTTCTATCTCATCTATGTGTTCGTGCGTATATATATGTGCCTGTGTGTATGCATGTCTGTCTATTCAACTGAAAATCAAAGGAGAGAGCCGATCGGCATTTGAAATTTCCATCAAGCGTGTTTAACCGTGAAAACACTTTAGCCTCCTGAAAAATTTACGCCAAAGTCTCTGTCGAGAAAAGCAGCTTATACAATACCTTCAAAACTTGAGTTATAACGTGAATACACTTTTCCACAGAACCGATGTTTGCTAAATACACTTACCTTGACGTTCAATATCGTGCGTTCTAGAGAATCAATTTAGAAACGAGATCTGAACGATTATACAATAATTGACGAATAACGAGGTGCTTGAATAATTGAAGCGAATTAACGGAGAACCTCTTGATCGAAGCTTTTGAGGCAATAAACGTTATACCAATTTAAACGAAAACCTTCCACGAAATTGAACGGTACTCTTATCAATTATACATATCATTTACTAATTCATACGTTTCGTCATTATGTATATCATTCGTATTCTTTCCAGAACTGGCAAATTTCGTGATCCACGAAATTTTCTTCTGAAAGAAACTCGGCGTCGATTGAAAGCATCCACGGACAGGTCAGAGGAGTAAGAGTTTAAACTTCGTCCACGTGGAGGGAGGAGAGTACTCAAGTATCCGATAGGTTCCAGGAAAGATAATTAATTTGAAGCATCTTGTAGGAAGAGACGATGGCACGCGAAAGGTTCGTGAAGATTCAATTAGAAGAGGCAACGTCGATGCATCGCAACGAGAGACGAGGAGCAATAAATTTAACGGCACAAACGTGCTTTCAGTTTTGATACACGCGTGAGGAATAACAAGATGCTGGTTGTTTTGCTGAGAAACAAAGATCTCGATGACGGGTGGAACGACAAGTTTTCAGTTACCTTTCGCGCGTTCACCCGCTCCATTGTCGATTGTCAAATGCTTTAATAGAGTTTCAAACTTGAAGAACTTCGCGTGCAGAGAATCTCGAGAGCACATTGCAGCAGCACAATAAGCGACAATTAACGCGTCCTTCGGATCTTAACGAAGCTAGCTTAGGTCCACGAAAGTAATTGGACATCGCTTTATCCCAAAATGTCTCGATTGATAATTCGAAAAATCTAGGCTGCGAAAGCTTGAAAAGTCTCATTATATTCAAAGAGGTTTGCGTATACGCGAGAGTTTGTATGTCATTCATGGCTGATCGAACAAGGTAAACAGGATAACGGAAAGAAAAAATCCCCTGGGAACTGTGAGTAAAATGGGAAGTGAACCGTGACTACCTCTATCTCTGGATAACAATATGTTCGATCGAACCAGCAATTTTATCTCCGTTTTCTTGGATAGGACAAACGAGAGTCTTGGAAAGTATAGTCTTTTGGGAAACGTACTAGATGGTACTTCGCGTTACGTGGTACTGTTACGCATCTTTCTAATTGTAATAGAAAATATGTTGTGTAATAGGTACGTTTTCCTGGAAGCTTTGGCGAACTTACGATGCGCATCATCCTGTGGAAATATTGTTTCGAGAATTTCCAAGAAACTTCCATTTGAACCGATTTAATTCCTTGGAAATATTTCAAACGTAGATTTCCTTCATACGAGGAAAAAATGATCTCGTACCGTTTGAGTTTGTCGAATGATAAACTAGAATTTATTCCCGGTCGGGAATTTCAGATTTTTCGAAGCGCCTCTTCGATCGATGCACACACCGCTGGAATAAAAATATCAACGAACAGGTTGATCCATTTTTGAAACAATCTCCGAAAATATTAGCCGGTGAAATACGGCGGTATAGAATAAAAATATCAACGAAAACAGGTTGATCCATTCTTGAAACAATCTCCGAGAATATTAGCTGATGAAAGACGGTGTAGAAGAGAGACAAGGGTACAAAAGAAGCTGTTAGCAAATTCAGCGGAGTATCGCTCAGGCAGAAGAGGAGGAGCGATTTCGACGGAAGAAATTGATTTCCGATGGACGTACGGTGAAAGTGAAATTACCCGTGGCAAGTCTTCACTTTTACGAGGAACCAGCCTGCATATTCATAAGGGAGAGAGAGAGAGAGACAGAGGAGAATCGTGGAGAAAGGTCGTGGAACGGATATCGATCATTTACATAATTGTATAACCACGTCCGCACGGATGTAACGCGGTTTCTGCCACCGTTTTAATTATGTCGCGGCTGTATTCCTGGTCGTACGCAATAGCCAGCATGCTAAATCGATTTAATGCTCCAATTATTTTACGGCAATTAGCCAGAGAACCGCTCGTTGCGATTTCACGAACATTCGAACGATCTTGACCCGGTTTAGTAGCCGATTACCTCAACTCCTTCATTTCTTCACTCTTGATTACGATCGATAGCGATCATTTCCACTATAATATAATCGTTGTTTGATTTAATTACTCTCAGAGCAGAAGAGAGAGAGAGAGAAGGAGAGAGATTGTGAAAGATAGGAATCATACGATGATGTGAATTTATTTTATATTTCTCCTCGACCCAAATATCGAACAGGGTTTTTTTTTTAACGCGCTTGTTTCAATGGACTTTTCTAAAGGCAAACGTTTCAAAGTGGAAACTGTGGGTAAAGAGTTGGAAACAGGAGGACCCACGGCGGTAACTGTATTTAAAGAGCAGGTGAAACAGTTTGGGAGAATTTTAGAGGAAAATTGTGTTGCTGTTTTCTTGCTGCTCCTAGATCTCGTATCTCGTGTTATCCTTATTATATATGCTACGGTATAATTGGAATTGAAAAACATTGGAAAAAACTGGTTTTAATAAGTGCAGAAACAGTTTATTCTGTTACTCTATCATATAAATAATTTGTTGTTACCATATATAATATATAAGGGATGGAGATTTGACTGGGCTCAATAGCCAAAAATCCATCGTATATTTTTTCTTCGTTTTCATATAAAATAATACAAGAACAAATATTTGACATCTAATGTTTTCGCGTATATACAGGTCCGCTTGTAGTACAGTATTTCACTAGACAGCTATGTGTATTATTCTTTGCGCTGCATTAATCATTCTAATTGATATAAGTTTTAGCACGTAGTCGTTCTATCGTTTGTTACGTTTCGCAGCTTGTTCGCGATAGTCTTTCGTTGTCAGGTATGTTTAATATCGCTGTCTGCTGAACGGATAGGACAGTCGTCGTTTCCTTTCCGGTCGACGTTATGATGCATAATTTATTAGACGTTCGATGCGCAGTATCGGCAAAATTTGCCTTACAAATATTGTACTGGTACAACTAACTCCTAATGAAAACAGAGATCACGTTGGAAACGAATTACTCGAAATTATTGAATCGAAAGGTAAATCGCAACGATAGAGAAGGATAAATAAACGTCGATAGATCCCGTTCCGCGTTTTAAAACCGTTCCTTCCTTCCACTAATTTCATATAATTGCGCATGCAAATATTGGCCTATATAATTTTCACGTTACGCAGTTATACGCATTATTAATGCTATTATGTGAAACAACGCTCGAGGAAATACAAATAGTCAACGAACGATTCAGGTGTACGTGCTTAAGATGTACAAATGAAATCGTTCCCGACTATATACGTTCAAACTTCGATTAAATTCAAGCGCGGATTAGGCTTTCCTACGGTTCATTAGGTGTAAGTTTAACGTCAGATCGAGTTCTCCTCGTTTCAACAGACCTGCTATTTGCAGCAACAGTCTTGAAACTTACATCGAAAGCTCAATCGATTCTAAGCTTCCCGAGCGTCTGGCGTTTGTCCCTGGTGAAACAACAAATTTCGCCGTTTGTTCCACCATTCGGAGCCAGTTTCTCGATTTATTGGCGCGCCACTGTTACCCTCTTAAATGCTTCAAACTTTCCCTTCTCTATAAATTGTACAACGACGATATTTTATTTGCACATCATTCTTCGATTTTCATAAAAAAAGAAAGGGTCAATCAGATCTTGTTTATTTCGAGGAACGCGGCTCCGTTGGAAACGTAAGATGATTAATATCAAGGTTTTCTTCTCATCGCTTAAATACTACTTATCCTCCTTATGTATGTTTAAGAAAAGTTACGCAATTAGCTTCGACAATCATTCATCTGTCAATTAATAAGATTGTGTTAAAAAACAGCATGCCCGTTTATCTTACACAGTGTAAGTACGATGGAATTTAACCGTTTGAGTGCCAAGGAGGCGCGGTCGCGCTTCTCGTATTCGACATCGAGTAGTTCCACTGCGTTGGGCCACGAAGTGTAAATTTTATTCTATTTTTTATAATCTGTCTATTTTTTTTATAAAGAATTGAACAAAAATCCAAACAATTTTTCCTTTTTTTCGTGTTATTTCCAAACAGTCGTAATCAATGAAAATGTGGAAAGCAAAATTTTCGGAATTTTTCGACGTCAAATGAAAAAAGCGTAATCGCGCCGCGTGGCACTTAAACGGTTAATAATCAAATTGCGTTATGAACACCGCCCAGAGCCATTACGTGGCTCATTATACTCAAGACAAAATTGATCCTCCAATCACTCTGTTACATTATGTAATGTGTCACCTTACCAGGTTTTATCGTTCATCGATTCTTTCGTAACAAATTCGATTTTTCACGAAGGAAATTAACGGATAAAGAACAAGACGACGCTTCGAGCTATTGCTGAAGAACGTTCGTTCTTCTAAAGACGCGTAGTCTCTAGACCCTTCAGCCTGCATCATACGTAAGTGCTCTGCACGTCGGTTTGTTGCGTGGCTGGCTGCCATTTCTTCATGATCCTCGGCTTGAACAGCTGGCCAAAAGTTGTACGGAACTGTCTGGACATGGAACAGTATAGGATGAAGTTGATGGCGCCGTTCAACAGGGCCAGGATGTCCATCACCTCGCCGAAATTGTGATAACAGTTGCGGAAGAAACAGTCGCCAAGAACGCCGGATAAAAGACCTAGGATACCCTGAGGGATCTCCGTGACAAGGAACAACAGTAACACGGCCACGAGCATCTTCGTCGTTCTGTCAGCTCTTTTCTCCGATTTACTCGGCCGCCTTGGGACCATACCATTGCCCATTGATGTTGTGCTCTTGCACTGATTGTAGTTTTTCAAGGCCTGCTTCCTACTCTTTGCTCTGAAACACGATTGAATTCGATGTGGATTTTGTGGGTATAAAAGCGTTGGGATAAACGCTCGAAGGAGTAAAATAATTTCGATCAGGTAAATGATTCTGAACTTTTGACCTACAATATATCTTCTAATGGATCCTCTTACAAGTTAGATACAGTAGCTGTGGGTATTACGGTGCATGTATAGAATGACGTTGATGTAACGAGAGCAATTTAGTCTAGGAAGTGAGAAGTGGTGGTAATTAGGCCAGGTAATGTAAAGTTTCTAAGGAAGAATACCCGATCAATGAATTTCAATTTCTTTTGATATAGAGTTACTTGAATTACCTGTAAAGAGCCTTTATTAGCCAGCAGCTAATTACAGTGAGAATGACGCACGGTAGGAGTTTTACGACCACCCCTAGCACCCAGAAATTCAGCTGGTAGAAGAAGTCCTTGTGCTGTGAGTCGACGATGTACGCGATCTCCATGGTGCCATTTTCGTTTAGTGTCTGTTCCCTTATCTAATCATTAGGGGGTTTCAAAAATATAGTTACATTCAGGGTGTTCGGTAAATGGTGGGGAAAATTTTAAGGGGTTTTAATTCTACAAGTCAAAATAAAACGAAAATGCATTTGAGATTTCATTTTTTAATTATAAATAGTTAAAAAATTGAAATTACAGTTGTACTACTGCTACACATCGGTGTATAAAGGTTTGCCAGGTCTCAGGGGCATTTTATCAAATTTTTTATCTGCTTTTATCTAAAAAATGAAGTCTCAAACGTAATTTCGTTATTCTTGATTTTCGTCTTTTTTTGGCTTGTAGAGTCACCTCTTAAAACACAGAGAGTGAAAGTTATTCTTTATCGAAGACTGCATGCACTTACTCCGAATACGAGATAACTAGGGGCACATGCAACAATTGGCACCAAAACGCTGCTCCACAGCGCCGTCCTGCAACGTGCAGTCGTGCACCAGGCATTGTATTGCGGAAACCTGTGATAACAAAAGAATACCAACGTTTCATATTAACTTTTTCATATTGAAAAAGTTGCACTTTTATTCTCGTGACAAACATTCTTTTTCCTACGAATTTTCAGCATTGCTTTTCAAGAAAAACCAGCACACCAAGAGGTGAATAATCAAACAGCGTAACTCAAATGTGAATATATGAATGTATGATCTCAGATGAGCGGGAGATTTTATTTGTTCATACAAGTTTCATAAACTTCCAGTCGACTGCAGCAGACGCGTTCATATCATGATGGAAAAAATTTCCCCGAAAAATTGGAACAGCGAATATAAATTGGTTGAGCAGAGAGAGGCTAGGTTAAACTTTAATTTTCGCCTCGTCTACAACGCACGTAAAACAAAAGCGAATACAATATTGCTCGAAACTTTATCGTACTTTTCATTTAAATCGAAAAACAATTAATGCAATTGCATTTCGTTTAAATACTCCCATTCAACTACTAATTTTTGTTAAAACGTCCCCGTTGATTGATCTCCGTCTTTTCTATGCGAATTGAAATCTACCGTGAATATTACGTAATCGATCTTTTCAACGCAAAAGATCGCATAGAAATGAAACTGGGAAAACAGTATGCATATTCAGAGAAGACGACTGTTTGCAAAAGTAGTTAAACGTTAGTTAACAATTGAGCAGAGGGTTTCAACGAACAACTGATAGCTAATACTCTGCTGGGACTTCAAGATTCCGATAGTACGGGATTTCTGATTATTCTACTGTCTCTCTAGTTTCGAGATACTCAATCGAGAGGTTGTTCAGCCAATTGAACGTATTGGTGTTGAAATGTCGTTCTACACGATCTTTGAGGTTAGGAAGCTTAGTAGAAGTAAAACGTCAGGAACTTGGTAACGAAAATTAACAAGACAGGTCATGAAGAATTCGGTTAATTAGCTTTTACTAGAAATACCAATTGTACGTTTAATACAGAGAAAAAGAATCTTTTCCACGATCGTGAAAGCCGTTTAACTAAAACAAATCACTTCTCCAAGTTTAATTCTACACCATTGAAGTCAGAGCTCGCGAGAAAAATGAAGCAGCCGTGAAATATGGTTCTCGAGGCGTGCAGCCGATACAACTTAATCAAACGAATGGAATCGATATTTTCTCGAAATTTTCCGTATCATGTCGCTCTCTTGGTTACCACCAGTTTCTCTCTCTATGAATCTCACCTGAATCGATCTACGATCGATAAGAACGTACATACATACTGTTCTGTGCGCAGATTAAAAAAAAAAAATTGGTCCACGATTGCAGCAGAGATACACACGACACGTTTCTCCT